GGATCGAGTGACCAAATTACTTATTATTATTTGAAGGGATTACTACCCCAGAAAGCGATCTGCCAATCAACCAACAACTGGTATCCTACTTACTGCTAAGTAAACAGAAGCATGTGGAGTAAGGAAACTTGCCTACGATTTTGCTGTGCCTGAGAATCGAACCCAGAGCCTCTTGCTTGTGAGGCGAGTGCTCTAACCAATACACTACAGGATTAACCTAGTTTACCTCAAAGTTAGTCCCAGTTGGTTAAAAACCCAACATCATCACATTTTAGATTACGTCCCCTTCAATTTCTGAGCAAGTTTTCCTGGTGTTTTGAGCAACTCGAATCACTTGAATTCCCACATGATCTATTCCACCGGCTCATTTGTTTCTCTAAACCAGCTTATTCTCTGTATCTTTAAAATCTGCAACCTTAGCCCCTGGCAAACAAACTACCAGCCTTTTAATGCTATCCTTACAATAAAAAGAACTGTCCCGCAGTTTCAGTAAATCTGCCCTCCATTATTTCCCTTCTTTCCCTCTGGCTATTATTCCATCAAATCCTCCACCTCTGAATAACATTCAGTGTTATTCAGTAACTGAGTCCCATTAAACATAACCCAACTTTACCTCACTATCTTCCAATAATAATAAATAATTTGTTCACGTGACCCATGACTATTTGCCACCATCCACTAACAACCTCATTGTGTTTCCTGGTGAACAGAGTGTCTCAGGGTAATCTATAACACTAAACAAGAGGGTGGAGTAAAGGATCTCAGAACCCAGCATTTGTCATTAATTCGTTCATCTTTCACAGGAGCCCTAAACATTCAAAAGCTGCACTCCAGTATTCTTTTCAGCTCAGACCTCCACCCTCAGTTGTTTAAGCTCAAACAGATGTTTCCTTCATCATTGAAAAACAGTGCATTTAAAAAGAAACAACCAGTTCTTGTGCAGAACAAAATCCACAGAGCTGCTCCCTGCAATCAAGAGTGTTGCTGTGTTTTGTTAAAACTTTGGTGGGAAGAAAGTGGATTTTAAGTCACTCGATGGCTCCCTGGTGTTAAAGATTTAAAGTGGGGGCACGTGAAGCACTGTGCGCTGGGAAACCTCAACAATCCCATTTCCTGGTCGGTTGGTTCAACAACAACTTGCACTTATATAGCGCCCAACATGCAGGGAAGTGTCTCAGAGCACTTAACAGTGGTGGAGCCTGACTCCGAGCCCGGGGGAGGGAGGAGATGGCCCTAAGCACGGTTGAAAAGGAAAGTTTTTAGGCGGGATTTGGAAGAGGGGAGAGAGTGGACAAGGTGGCGGGATTGAGGGAGAGTGTTTCAGAGTTTGCGTGAAAGCACAACCTCCATTGGTGGGGCGGAGGGTATGAGGGATGAGCAGGAGGCCGGTGCCAGTCGAGCAGAGGTGCCGGGTGGTTGATTGGAGAGTGAGGAGGTCAGAGTGTGAGGATCTTGAAGTCAATCCATTCGGTGATGGGGAGCCAGTGGAGCCTGGCCAGAACTGGTGAGATGTGGGTATGGAGTTTGGTCTGGGTCAGTATGCGGGCAGCAGAGTTTTGAATGAACTGGATCTTGTGAATGGTGGAGTTGGGGGATTGACGAGAAGTGCGTTGGAGTAATCCAAGTGAGAGGTGACAACCGCATGCACGAAGGTTTCGGCTGCATTTGGGGTAAGGTATGGTCGGAGGTGAGAAATGTGGCGGAAATGGCAGAAGGCGGTCCTGGTCAGGGACCGATGTGGGGGAAGAAGGACAGTTAGGGATCGAACCGGCTGCCTAGGTTGCGCACTGGTATGGTGATTCTGAGGGAGAGCCCAGGGAGGTTGAGGAATTTAGATCTGCAGGAGTGAAGACGTTGACGAAAGTCACCAATACAACAACAACTTACATTTATATAATACCCCTCACTCAGGTTAGCGTCCCAGATCGCTTGACAGTGGCAGTACACAACACCAAGGGGAGATGACTGTAGATACAGTCAAAGAGGAAGGTCTTCAGGCACAACCTGAAGATGGGGAAGGAAGGGAGCAAGGCGGAGGGATAGAGCAAGTGTTCCAGAGTTTCGGGGCGTAGTGGCTGAAAGCGCAATAGTACTCGTTCACAGCCACTGACATCCTCCCCATACATCCAGTCAGCGGCTCTTACTGGGAGGTGGGAGAGAGCGAGAAACCAATGCAAGACTCGTCTCTCTATTTATGATGATGATCATCCTTGCATTTGATCCACTGCCTTATCACGTCATTGAGACATCTCAAAGTGCTGCAATGTAAACTGCTGTCATTGTGGGTATTTTGTAGGTGAAATCAGAGACATTTATGGCACAGAAGGAAGCCATTTAACTCATCAAGTCTGCATCGGTTCTCAAAACACTGTTCATTCAATCCCACTATGGCCATTCCCCTTCAAGCCTCTATCTTTCATGTACAATATACACCTTCTTGTTGATAATAATTCTAACAATAATCCTTGCATTTAATATAGCTTTTATTAACACCGAGAATGGCTCAAAGCTCTTCACAGAGTTTCTGTAAAGTATAGATGGATTTGTATACATGGATTTGTAGGCAAACGCAGCAACCAATATGCAAACAGCAATGTCCCACAAACAGCTGGAGGATTATTGTCCTAGAGAAACAAGACGAAAATAAATAAAGTGATACAAAGAAAGGATTTTATTTCTATCTAACAATGTGTTTCATAAGACTCTATTTCCCCTCTAACATTCTTCTCCTGGACGCGCAGAACCATGCTTTCGTACCATTGATCGGGGTCTGTCTGTTCTCCACGTGTACACTGGACAGTGAGTGCCGGCAGGCTGTGTGACTGTCGTGGCCCAGCCTGATTCGATGACCACAGATGCACATTTTATAATGTGTGGGGGGATGAGGGAGAGCGTGTGTGGTGAGGGAGGTGTCCCTCAAGACTGAGGAACAAATCCAGCTGTTTTATCCTCTCCTCAGCCCTTGTCACTGGCAGGTGCAATACTGAGAGTAGCTGCCACAGCAAAGAGCAATGATTTAACCTAAGACCCTCCTGCTCTGGTTCTGCATTAGACTCTGAGCAGAACTGCTTCTATTCTGGTTTTGCTCTAGACTGGTGCGATGGTCACACAGCTCAGACACTGAACGTACAGCACTTCTGATTTGGATTTGCACTGACACTGAACCTCTTGGATCGCCTTAATTTGAACTTTCATCTGTTTTTGTTTTCAGGAAAGGAAAATTACAGGGATCTGTAAACTGCCTTCTTAAAGCTGCAGTGTAGCTCTGGTTAGGACTCTATCACTATTAGGTCGATAATTATAAACGTTCTGTTTTAAAATAATGTCTTCATTTATATAGAGTAACACCTCTATCATCACCTCCCCCCCCAACCCTCACCCAGTACAAATACATATAATTACTGGTCCTCTATATTCAGTAAAGTTAGGACATCTGATGACAGGCCGATATCCTCATCCCCCACGATTTGGGAGCTCACACTCGCAGTCAAGGAGAGGGAGATTAAGGTCTGTACAGGCTCCATGTCTGTATCCACGGGTTTCAATCAATGTGTGCAATGGGTGGCAGACACGACAGGCTCATTAACCAAGTCCGTGCATCCTTCCAGCTGGGACAACAAACTATTTCTTTTGAAATAAAATGAAAGGTGCCATTCCCCGTGAGGGGTGCTATATTCATGCACGTTGTTGATGTGGTGAAGCTAATGTGGAGAAATAAGTTATCATCAGGTAAAAAAGAACAGACAAGTGCTTTAAGATCAAGAGAAATGATATGATAGTGAATGAGGGAGGTCTGAGAATGGAAATCCGGACACATGATCTGACCCTGGATGAATGGATATATTTTTGCTAAAAAAANTGAACTCCTGCTCCACTCAGCTCAGGTTATCAGCCTCCCATAAAAACTGTTTTATTCCAGTTATTTACATGAGAACATCCCATACCGGAGAAGATTGTAAGCCTCGTGGGAGCAAATTCTTGTGCACTGATGTTACATTATGATAGATGGGGGAGGGGTGGGGAGGCAATGGGGAGGGGATGCTATATTACATAGCATTTATCACCAGAGGCTCCCAATGTAAAACCTTAACAAGAGGTGAGTGAGTAGCATTATATAACAGTGTATTATATAACACTGAGCATTGACAGGTTGAGTTTAATCTCTCTTGGAGTCAGGATATGAATATTCACAAGGAGGGCAGGAGCAGTGAAGGGGACTCACAGGGGATGAACTCAGTTAGTCATTCAGTGAAACAACAAACCTGCTGGAGACAGACCGTGGGCACACCAGACATTACTGGGAACAAAACTATAAGCATACATGTGTCCAGGAAGGAATGCGTTTACATCTGACACAGAGAGTTGTGTGGTCAGCTCTGTAAATGGGCCATCTCCTGACGTGACTGGAGCGATCACAAAGGCCCAATGTCAGACGCGGTCCAGATGGCACCTCTTCCAGGAATTCTCTGTTTAGTTTGCGCAGGCCAGTTTCTGAAAGTGGGCAGCTCTTGTTCTGTGTGGACTGCGACCACCCATGTCTGACCCTCAGTCATTCAGACACAATGCCACAAGCTGTGAGATGGCCCCACCACCATACCCCACCCACTCAGCCCAGGGATCAGTGAGATTCCAAGCTTGTGGGAGTTTTGCAATGAGCAGCTGGGATCATTTTCACACATATGTAGCTCGTCATATTTCATTGGCTCAGACAGCAACCTGGACCGCGAGAATAACATTGACTGAGTTAGACCAAATTGTGATTTCAAAGAAAGGGAAACTCCAAAGTCAAACTCAGAACAGACTGTAAGATCACAGACATAATCGTAAATTTCCTGAAAAAATTTAGCGGCACATTCCAGCCACGTTCACTGTTAAAGATAGATGGACATGGAACAGAGAATGAATTACACAGTGTTTGATTTGTTTATTGCATAAAAGGTAACTGGAAGAAGTACACAGGACTGAAGGTGATGAATGCTTTGTTTTTGTTTCTGTTTCAGCTGACAATTCCCAGTTTCCCAGTGGTGGTAAAATTGGGACATGCTCACGCAGGCATGGGAAAGGTAAGATCTGTCGAAGCGAGAGAGACTTGGGGACAATCTGCAAGGCTTCAGCCAATAAATAGTTCAGAAATTTTCAAACAATTCTTGCAATTTGATGAATAAATGGATTTGGTATGTGTATCCAAAGTTTTCATCTTCTTCCCCTCATCGGTTCCACATGCCTAAACCTTCCCTCTGGTTTACACTATTGCTCCCTCTCGTACCCATCCTCCTATTCATTACCCCTGAGACATTGAATTGTGGAGACATTTCCTCAGGTTTGTTCTTCTATCCATTCTACACACTCTTTGCCTCAAAGTGAATCACTCTTGCCCTTCACCAAGCTCCTGACCCCATCACCTCCACCCTCGCCTGGCTCTACTGGATCCCCATACCCCAGAGGATAGAGTTTAAAATCCTCGTCCTCGCCTTCAAAGCCCTCCACTGGGGTGGGACGCTCCTCTCCAGTTCTAATAGCCTGATCAGACTCACTGTCTCAGCTCACACATAGAGTTCAGTACTTGGGTGAGTTACTGGAAACCAAATCTCATCATGAGTCAATGGTTCAGAAGAGGAATGGGAAAATTGTGGCCAAAACACCTCGCCTAGTAGGCAGACACATGTTGGCAGTATCTTGGTGAACTCCAGCTCTTTGTCTTTAGTCATACCATAAAGACATGCATAAGGTCTGTCTTGTATGAACAGAGTGCCAGTGTGTCTCTAACCCTGCTCTTCATTCTTTCTCTGGCTTACGTGGGCTTTGGCTCTCACAGGTCAAGGTTGAAAACCATTATGACTTCCAGGACATTGCCAGTGTTGTGGCTCTGGCCAAAACCTATGCAACCACCGAGCCGTTCATCGACTCCAAATACGACATCAGAATTCAGAAGATCGGGAACAATTATAAAGCTTACATGTGAGTGTCCCTACTAGCTTAGCTGCTGTACAGGCCTTTCTGGGATGCTGGCCCGGGGTCCATGTACAGGGGTTCGTGTGTGCTGAGATAGGTGACATAATAATAAAAATAATAATCATAATAAGCCTTGCTTTTGATATAGCATCTTATTATGTCGTTGAGACATCTCAACCTACTTCACAGAATATATTGTAAACAGTGTATTTTTTGCGGCAGCCAATTGCACACGCCAATGTCCTACAAACAGTCGTGATTGAGTGACCACATTATTTTGGAGGGATTATTACCTCTGGAAAGCGATCCACCAATCGAATAATTACCGAGTTCCTACTTACTGCTGGGTAAACAGAGGTGTGTGGAGTAAGGAAACTTGCCTAACATTTCGCCCTGTCCGAGAATCGAACCCGGGTCCTCTCGCTAGCGAGGCAAGCACGCTAACCACTATGCTACAGACCTCCTGCAGGGCCACAACTCTCTCTGAAATCAACAAGGATGGGTTTGAGATAGGTTCATATTGACGATATAGTGGATTGATGGGGGAGGTATCCTTCTCAGCAGCCTGTGGCCAAGTCAGCTTTGTGCTCTCTGGCTGGGGATTGGTTTGTAATCACAGGAAGAATGGAGACAGGAGACAGAAACTCTGGGCACAATCAGAAGAGTTTTAAAGTGATTCCAGGGCATTTTTAGAGTATAGCTCTTTGGGCAGGCAGCTCCAGAGTAACATAACTCCTCCATGCAAAGAGCTCTCATGGATCAAATCCAATTCTCAATTCTTTCCTGATTTGTTTGCGTTTGAAGAGAAAATGGGGGAAAAAGTGCCAGACCAAAACCAGACTTGTACAAGTCTACTGGCGCGGCTGGAAACCAGTGGCCAAAACACCAACCACTGCTTAGATCAGTGGAGAAAGCTGACAAGCATGTCTGATAATCTTCCGTTAAATGTGGTGCCACACCCTGCAATTTCCTATTTGAGGAGTGTCAGTGGAAATGAATAGAGATAACTATCTGGTGATTCACAATCTGGGATGGATCAGACTGACGCTCGCTTGCTGTCTGAGCCACTGATGGACAGACCCTCCCACCAGCAGTGCAGTGCATGGGACCGTCCCGGATACACTGTGGAGTCGGAGGATGAATCTTGTCTAGCACCAATGGCAGCCAGGAGCAGGACACCTATCTGATCCATGGGTGGGTGGGGGTGATTATTATACTCTTGCAGGTGGCAGATCAATACCAGCTCACTATGAGCAGACTGTTCTGCTGTTGCTGTGATCCCAGGGGCCTTGTCAGTAATGTGGCTTGTCTCTCACAGGAGGACCTCGATTTCAGGAAACTGGAAAGCAAACACTGGCTCCGCTATGCTGGAACAAGTGGCCATGACAGAACGGTAAGTGCTCACACAGCACAAATCCAAATTGTTCAGTTGGGCCTGAACAACAACAAATTACATTTGTGTTGCGTCTATCACGTTGGAATGATGTCCCTAGGCACTGAACGGTTAAGGGTTTCCACCCGAGCTGGGGATTGGAATCGAGAGAGTTGGAAGGTAGAGGGAGTGGAAGTATGGATGAAGTCAAGGTCAAATCAGATCTCTCCCCATATTTATCACAAGCTTAGACCTCTGATTATCTCCATTACCTAGTTTATCTAGAAACCAACATTAACAATAATAATAATAATCCTTGCATTTGCTTTTCACATCATGAGGATGTCTCAAAGCGCTTCACAGGATTTACTGCAAACTACAGCAAGTGTGTTTGTGTAGGCAAACACAGCAGCGAATTTGCATGCAGCAATGTCCCACAAAAAGCCATGAAGTGAATGGCCAGCTTTATCTGGGGGATTGTTGGCCAAGCACTTTGCCAGCACAGAGGCAATGTGGCATTTTGTGTCTGTGCCGCTGATAGTTGGTTTACTAAATTAACCTTTCTTTTTAATTGATCCCAATTTCCACTTCTTTTCCCGTATCTCAAAATATTTGTAATTCCCAGCTGCTTATCCAGTTCACATTTGTAGTATTATGAGAATAGATAGACACTTTGTACTGAATCCCCTTTCCTCTTTCTATCCTTTTCCAAGTGACATATTTCGTGCCTTTCTGCTTCAGTGACCTGGTGACGAGTGAGTGCTGCCTACAGCTTATCCCACTCATTCACTATGTCAAGACGGGTATTGCCCCCCCCCTCCACTCCCCCACTCACCTCTGATCCCAGGCTGTTTTGTCGACTGCAGAGTGAGGGATAAAGGAGAATGGTCCATTGGAACAAGGGACAAAGGAGAGATGTCAGCAAGTGTACAGCTCCCATTGCACTCCCTTTGTAGCGGTGCTGTGTGGTAATTGAGATGACTGGTTTGCTGTAATGAATGCGTTGCGATGTTCCAGCATGTTGCTGGAAGAATGGATGGAACAGGTTACAGCAGAGCCACCTGACAGCTCACATCCCAATGGGAATTCTCTTTCAGCTACAGAGTGTGGGTGGACGCTTGCTCTGAGATGTTTGGTGGCCTGGACATATGTGCAGTGAAAGCTGTTCACGGAAAGGACGGAAAGGATTACATCATCGAGGTTAGTTGGTCCGAACTAGTTAAGACCTTTGTAGTGCAAGTCATGAATTTCACATGGAGTGTGATTGGGGTAAGTTGTTCTTTAGATTGCCTGAGCCCCCCTTTTAGTCTGGAGTTTAACTTGTTCATTACTGCTCGAACTAAGGCTAAATGTAGATCAGAAACTGCTTTATGCCTCGCGTGTAGTTCAACAGTGTACACAGAGGATAATGATGGTGAAAGTGTTTTTTTTCTGTGTACAACAGGTTGGTGACTGGTGAAAGGTTTTTATTTGTGTACACAGAGGATAACGAGTGGTGAAAGGGTGGGCACAGAGGACGTGACTGGGCTTTGTCTGTGTACACAAAGGCTGGTGACTGGCTTTGTCTGTGTACACAAAAGATGTGACTGGCTTTGTGTACACATAATATTTATTCATTTCTGATTGATCTCATTCTGTAAAGCATTTCTTTAACATCAAAGGCACTGTATAAACGCTAGTCATTGTGATCATCAATTTCCAGGCCAATCTTTAAAGCTCAGCGGCCAATATCTCTTCAGGTGTCATGATCACTGACAAGGGTAACACTTCCTTTCCTTTGTACTTAAGTATCAAATCTCGCTACACTAAACAATAACTGGACTAAGGTAGATGATCAATCTAGGAAGTCCCTTGATTGACATTAGGAAGTCCCCAACAAAAACACAGGAATGCCTTGGTGTGTAAATTGTATTGCAGTGTGTGCTCAAATACGTCACAGAGGCTACAATGAACAGCCCAATCCTGCATGATTTGAACTGAAGCTTTTTAGTGCAGTCCTGAGTCACCCAGACAGTTATAGCACTGGGCCATAGAGTAGTCCTGAGCCAAAAAGATCATTTAGACCTGAGTCCCACAGAGCACTGTCAAATAGTCTCATCTCATTCCTGGTTTAATCAGATTTGAAGAATGAGCACAGCAGGATAACAGAGGGAGACTGATGCCCATGGAACCATGCCCTTTGCAAGTGAGGATTAGGTAGAAAGAGAAGATATTTCAACTAGAGTTCAATTAAACTACGTGATTTGAGAGGAACTAGACCATTTAATTCACTGCAAATTATAGGAGGTTTGGGCTGTCCCCCTGCCTCATTAATCATCTGAAAACAATTTGGAGACCAGATGGGTCAAGACCAGTAGCAGTTAGTCCACTCCAAGCTGAGACAGCTGAATGCATCCAAAGAACTTGATTCTCAGGCAGTCAACATTTGGAAACTTCAATCGCCTCCTCCCCTGAAATTCTCAAATGAAAGGCTTTCCCTCCAACCCCAGCGGAGCCCAGCTGGCTGCTCGTAACCTTCAGCAGAGATCCCAACAGGGACCTGAAGATGATCATTAGTCAGCAACCGCTAACACTGCAAGAGGCCAGACTACCCGCCTTCATTGTATGCCTGGCTCAGAGGCTGAGTCACTGCTGGGTGACACTGTGGGGGTCAGAGTAAGCATTGGATGCAAGTAACCGCACAGTACCTCTGCGGATTGTTGGTGTGTCTGTAAATGGAGCCAATGCTCCAGGAAGATTTTCAGTCAGTGGGCAAAGCCTTCCTTTGTACAACCAGGAGCCTATCAGGAAAGGCTGGACAAGCTTGGACTCTTTTCTCTTGAAAAGAGAAGGGTGAGGGGTGACCTAATAGAGGTCTTTAAAAATATGAAAGGTTTTGATAGGGTAGACATAGAGAAGATGTTTCCACATGGGGGGTAGACCAAAACCAGGGGCCATCAATATAAAATAGTCACCAATAAATCAAATAGGGAAGTCAGAAGAACCTTCTTTATCCAGAGAGCGATGGGAATATGGAACTTGCTACCACAAGGAGTAGTTGAGGCAAATAGCAAAGATGCATTTAAGGGGAAGCTAGATAAGTACATGAGGGAGAAAGGAATAGAAGGTTATGCTAATAGGCTTAGTAGAGGAAGGGCAGGAGGAGGCTCATGTGGAGCATAAACTCTGGCATAGACCAGTTGGGCCGAATGGCCTATTTCTGTGCTGTATATTCTATGTAATTCTATGTAATTGTATGATGTGAACCAGGGAGACTTTTGGCAGAGAGGCCACTTTCCAGAGACCCTCTGCTTTATGACTCAGCACATCCCTTGCAGACAGTCACGAGCAGTCTGACCATTCATATGATGTGACTGCAGAAGGCGCAGTTCTGTTCACAAAGTAAGCATGTGCAGTGGACGTTGCCAGCTCTGTAAACACTCTCGAGCTCAGTTCACTGTGACTGTAGAGAAACAGCACACAAACTGGAACATTTGCCAGGAAAATTCCAGAACAGAATATATCACATTTTAATCCCTTCACTGCTGCTAACTCTCTCATCCGCTCACACTCCAGGGAAATGAGGAACCAATCCTTGGAGGGAGATAGCAACACTGTTCCAAGAGCAACACCGTCAGAATGGCCTCTTTTGACATGCCATGGATTGGCATTGCCCAGACGTCACCACGTGTAGTTGGAATGCATGGAACTTTCGGTTTGCTTTGCTTTGCGTACTCTTAAACATGGGGATAGGTTTCCGCGTGTGTCAGACACCAAAAACAAAGTACTTCAAAAGTAATTACTGGCAAGCTTTTTGTTGGCGAAACGGCCAGCCATTTGCGAAGTTAAATAATAATAATAATCCTTGCATTTGATATAACGCTTTTCACATTTTCTAGACGTCTCAAAACGCTTCACAGATTATACTGTAAAGTGAATTGATTGTATATTTGTGGGCGAAACATGGCGGCCAATTGTGCACAGTAGTGTCCCACAAACAGTCGTGGATTGAAGTGACCAATTTCTTATTATTTTTTTTCTTGAGGGATTATTATCAGGTGTGTGGAGTAAGGAAATTTGCCCAAGGTTTCACCCTGCCGGGAATCAAACCCAGGTCTCTCGCTTGCAAGGCGAATGCTCTAACCACTGAGCTACAGAATTGCCAATCAGTTGGGGAATCTCCCTGCTTTTTTTGACATAGTATCCTGGAATCTTTAATTTGCACCACTCCCACCAGGGCTGGTGTTTGGGAGTTGTTGTGTAGTCTGACAAGCTCTGAGATGATAGATTGTGGCTAGTCACGCTGTCTACATTCTTCAACACTTAAACTGAAAGCCAGGAAGTTCAGAATGAAGGAAAGTTTATCTGTGAATCAGAATGACTCACCGTACAGTTTTGTCTTCCGACAATTCCAAAAAATTTAAGGGATGAATATTCCTGTCCTCGTTGCATGTAATGACTGAGGATGTGTAATTAAAATGAGGAAATTGGTTATAAGTCAACATCAGCACAGATACTACACCTAACACTGCAGGATTCTCAGCCTCTGGTTCCCTCAGTGTGGTGTGGTTCACAAACCGGGATGCCCTGTGGTACTCTCCAGACTACTGAGGAAATTTGGAACACTAGACATTTTGTTTGTACATGTCAATTTATACAAGTTTAGGATTAAAGCAACTGCCCCATAAAACACCTCCCTGACTCTAAAATACAAGAATTGCAATAAGATTTGTAATAAGCGAATCCTGCATATATCTGGACCTGTCTCAGGCTGACCAGCTGAAACTGGCTGATTTTTCACTTCCACGTAGCCAGATTACTGCCAGATATGGTTACTGGAGTCCAATAAAGTTAGCTTTCAATATTGTGCAGTGGGTCTATTTGCATATTAACTTGTGAATATTGTGCCTGCACATTAACTTTGAATATTTCACTGATTATCCATTTCACTGAATATCTATTTCACTGAATACCCATTTCACTGGATATTAATGTCACTGAATATTAATTTCACTGGATATCAATTTCATTAGATAATAATTTCACTGTCAAAAATTCCTGTCAGTGTTGCATGTAGCGACTGAGAATGTGTGATTAAAATGAGAAAATTGGCTAGAAATTTATTTCACTGGATATTCATTTCACCGGATAGCTATTTAACTAGATACTCATTTCACTGGATATTCATTTCACTGGCTATCTATTCACTGGATATCTATTTCACTGGATGCCCCTTTCACTTAATGCCCTTTATCAGGTAATACTTTAGTTCTTTTAACCTGTTCTGTACTCTACAGATGCAAGAGCTGACACTTTTGCACGTGAGTTGCACAAGAAGGAGGAACAAGAAACCTCATCAACCAGGACATACTGTGCTCGCCACAGTGTTGCTGGGATTCCCTGGTGACTGTCTGCCATCTAGTGGTAACATGTCCAACTGGAGCAAAAACACCAACAAACCCAAATAGACATCAATTCTTGTTTATAAGGTGTCTAAATCTAGTGACAGTCCTTGTGCACCTGAAAAGCCAGTGTCCTGCTATTCCGGCTTCTACAGAGGCTAAAATTCAAGATATTTGTCCTTTTCAAATGTTTTGTGTACTTGATGACAAGTGTCTAATGGATGCATCACCTCTAGGAATCCAACCATGTTCTAGGACATGGGGGAAAAGTCCAATAAAGGGCCTTGGAGCTAGGGAGTGAGAGGGAGACTGATGCCTGGGCACTGAGACGTGGGCACTGAGCTGTCTTTTCCATTTATTCACAGGTAATGGACAGCGCTATGCCACTGATCGGAGAATATGTGGAGGAGGACAGACAGCTGATAGCGGAGCTGGTGATAGGGAAAATGAACCAGCTTCTGTCAGACTGCCCTGCAGCCTCCCAGCAGAGAGAAAGTGGACTGACACTGGGCCAGGTCAGTGGCAGCACCCACCACTATTTCTTTACCATGTTCACAGGAGTCAGTGAATTTGTATATGGTATCTCCATTCTGTTCAGGGAAGCTCAGTATTTGACAGTTTCCTCTCGTTAAGTCTCCTTAAGCATTGATCCACCCCAGCTATCCATCAGTGCATCCTTCTGATGATACTGGGAATCCCGAGTGAACGTTGAGTAACTCTCTAACCCTGTCTCACTGTGGGGATGTAACCAACTTCCACAGTCCAGCATTGGAATGAGAAAGTGGTGCTCCCTTCTCTCTCTCCCACATTCTGGCCTTGCACTTCTCTGTCTCAACTGTGTGTGTGGGGTGGAAACAAATACCAGATTTCATTGAACACATCTCCTGCTGCCGCAAAGTCCTTATTCTCATCAACCTCTCTTTCAGCCTCAGCAACTCCAGCCACAGCCCACAAAGTCTCAGATGCAGCCTCAGCCAGGAGCTGTCTCTCAGTGGGGGCAGCCAGCCCAATCTCGTCCATCCCCTCAAGGTACATACAGTTTACACAGCAGCTCACTACAGCATTCCTTCTTTTTAGAGATATTGGGGTTTCAGTTAATAATAATAATTCTTGCATTTGATACAGCGCCTTATCATTTCCTTGAGATGTCTCAAAGCGCTTCACAAGATATACCATAACATGGATTGACTGTGTATATTGGGAGTGAAACGTGGTAGCCAGTTTGCGCACAGCAATGTCCCACAACAGTGAGTGATCAATATTATCTGAGGGATTGTTGGCCAGGATACTTGGAGAGAGAAACTCCCTCCTCCTTTCGAATAGTGCCATGGGATCTTTAACATTCACCTGAACAGGCTGATGGGACCTTAGTTTAATGTCTCGCTCGAAGGACAGCACTGCATTGGAGTATCAGCTTAGACTATGTGATTCCAAGTCCTGATGTAGGGATCGAACCCAAAACCTTCTGACTCAGAAGCGAGAGCTACCACTGTGTCAGGCTGACGCACAGTTGTGGTGTATCTTAACTATTCCATAATAACGGATCTTACTCTTTCTGCTATCTCTTTCCGTGAATGCCATGGGAAACGCAATCTACTTCCAAAGCGGGAAATGTATTGGAATTTTTCAATAAAGTCCAGGTGGAAGTTCTTCAGCCTCCTTCGGCTCACGCGGACGCTCTCAAGTCTCACAAAATAACACGGCTTATCACCCGCAGCACATTTTGAAAAGGAACTTTCCCATCAGTCCACAGAGGCTGGAGAAAAGGCAGACGAAAATAAATTGTTAGAACGTACATTATTTATTATGTACTTCATTACGTCCATTTTGTGGGATATTGCTGTGTGCAATTGCTGCCCTGTTTGCTCACAAGGTCACCCAGTCACTCCATTTTACAGTAAATCCTGTAAAGTTCTTTGAGACATCCTCCTGACGTGAAAGGTGATGTACCAAATAATAATAATAATCCTTGCATTTGATATAACGTCTTATCACGTCGTTGAGACATCTCAAAGCAGTTCACAGGTAAAGTGTATTTTGTGGGTGAAACACAGATTCCGCACAGCAGTGTCCCACAAACAGTCGTGGATTGAGTGACCGCATTTTTTTCGAGCGATTATTACCCCCAGAAAGCAACCCGCCAACCGACTAACAACCGGGTTCCGACTTACTTCCTAGATAAACAGCGGTGCGTGGAGTAAGGAAACTTGCCTAAGGTTTGGCCCCACTGGGAATCCAACCCGGGTCCTCTCGCTTGCGAAGCGAGCTCGCTAACCAGTATGCTATGGGACTCCACAAGAAAGGATTGCAAGGATTATTATTAGTTATTTGCATGTTATTATTGAGGGGACTGCTGTAATCTTACCCTATTTCTCCTGTTTGCAGGAAGCCCAAGGCAACCCCAGAGCCCTCAGGTCCAGCGTTCCAGCTCAGTGTCACAGCAAAGACTTTCTCCACAAGGCCAGCAGCCCCAAAACCCCCAGCCCAGCACCAGCCAGCAAGAGAAGTCCCCAGGTTCGGGATCTCCGAAGCAGGTCAAGTCCGCGGGCACTTCCCCAAACCAGTCATCCAAGCCTGGGCCCTTCCCTTCTCCGCAGCCCAGGCCTCCTGCTCAGGGTCAGGCTCTTTCTCAGCCAGGGTCTGGAGCCGCAGCACAGCAGCACAGCACAGCACCTCACCCGCACCTCAAGTAAGTACAGGCTGTGCCATTGCTAACAATATTCTCTCCCTTTTTGTTTATGCATGTTGCTGCCTGTAATTTTCATTTCACTCCCACAGTATTAGGAACATAGGAACAGTTGGAGGACATTCAGCTCCTCAAGTCTTTTGCGTCATTCTATTAGTTCATGGCTGATCTGTACTTCAACTCCATTTACACACCTTTGCTCCATATCCCTTGATACTCTCACCTAACTTATTGCTATTGAGAGCCCAGAATTCTGACCTAAGCAGCTCCATATTACTCCACAACTGGTTCTGTCTGAGTGGAAGTCAGCTCTCCGTTTGACTGAGAAGGCCAGAGCAGAACTGAGGGGTTTAAAAAAAACACTTCCCGAAGCAATAAAGATTAGTTTCCCCAAAGAACAGGAAATTTGTGGAAATGACTCACACACCAAGCGTCTGACTCTGCATTAACTCCCTTACAATGTACTGGATAAAATATGTATGTACACGTGAGAGAGAGGGAAATAGAAGAGTGCGGGAGGATGTAAGGAGTGAGTGGAGACTCATGTGGAGCATAAACACCAGGACAGACTAGTTGGACCAATGTCTTGTTCCTATGCTGTACAATCTATGTAAAAAAAATCTGCATTGAGAATGATAAACCTTGCATTTGATATAGTGCTTTTCACATCTTCTAGACGTCTCAAAGCGCGTCTTAGAATATGCTTTAAAGTGAATTGACTGTATATTTGTGGGCGAAACACAGCAGCCAATTGCACACAGCAGTGTCCCACAAACAGTCGTGGATTGAAAATTATCAATTTATTATTATTTTTGTTTTTTGGAGGGATTATTGTTAGGCATGTGGAGTAAGGCGAGTGCTTGCAAGGCAAGGCGAGTGCTCTAACCACTGAGCTACAGGACTCCACAAGAGACTCCAGAATAGTGTTGGAACACATTTGGACAGGTGTAAAGTGAATGGAATGATTCCACACAGGACCGTGTGAGTTCCGTGTGCCTGGGGTTGGGAGAAGGTGGGAGAACAGGGAGTGTTCTCTGTAGTGGGAAGGTTTGAACAATGGAGTTGGATCAGTGTTTTAGAGTTTTACTGAAAGATTTAGGCATCTTTTGATGGAGCTTCTGTTGGATGTAAATTGAGTAGGTTTCTTGTAGACTGAAGGGAGCAGGCTTTAATCGGATGAATGACTTTTTAATCATTCCGTATTTTCTTAACTGGTTCTTTAATATCCAAGTTTATGTAGTGGTTTATAGTCTTGTACCTGGGACCACAATCCAAGAGTCCCGGTAACAGTTAAACAATTCAGTTTCAATCTCCATCACGCCGCTCCGTGGCCAAAATTGGGTATAACACTATAACATATTTCATTTGCTCAGGAGAAAGCGTTTTGACAGGGCTATCCAGTACATTGAATGATTAATAAATGTCCACAAAGACAAAAGATGAGATTAGATGGAAAAGATGGGGAGACATATTGGAATCTTCAGTGGGAACGAGAATTAACGTTGTCTAGCTCCTTCACAAATGAACTGAGCAAGTTCCCGGAAATGAAGAAAAGATTCAGGGTATTCGATGATGCTTTACTAAAAGTTAATAATGAGGTAACAAAATGCACAATGATCAGCGGAGGAGTGTGACGGGATTGCCACTGATTTTTGGGGGTCAGCCGGGTGTCTGATACACGTGGAAACCCATCACCATGCATAAGAGAATCTGAATCAAACTGAGAAATCCATGCATCCCACACACAACAACAAAATTGCATTTGTAAAGCACCTTTCACGTCGGAGGATGTCCCAAGGTACTGGACAGACAGAGTTACAGACCCAAGCTAGGGGTCGGGGAGGGTGGAGGGCAGGCGGGGAAGCAGGGAGATTGAAAGCACAGTCGAAGAGGACAGTCTTGAGATAGGTCTTGAAGGTGGCAAGGGAGGAGACGAGGCAGAGGAACTGCGGAATGGAGTTCCAGAGGGTGGGGGCAGAGTGGCGGAAGGTCCACCCGCCAGTAGTGGGGTGAGCGAGCAGGGGACGTGAAGCAGGCTGGAGCCCACTGAGTGGAGGGAGCGAGCAGGATGGTAGGGGGTTAGAAAGTCGCAGAGGTAGGGGGGAGCAAGACCATGGAGAGCTTTGAAGGTGAGGATCAGGATCTTGAACTGTATCCTCTGTGTGATGGGAAGCCAGTGGAGCTGGGCAAGGATGGGGTTGATAGGGTCACAAAGCCTGGTGCGGGAGAGGACACGGGTTGCAGAGATCTGGATGATCTGCAGCCTGTGGAGGGAGGAGTTGGGAAGGCCGATAAGCAGTGAATTTGCAGTCAAGCCTCGATGTAATGAAAGCGTGTATGAGGGATTCGGCCTACACATGGAAATTCCAGAGAGAGATTGTTGGAATGGAATGCACTCTCTCTAACTGGAGGGACACATCCTGTTTACCTAATGACATGCACCTCTCATTTCACTCTCTTTCAGTAAATCACAGTCCCTGACAAACAGCTTCAGTGTTACTGAGGCTCCTCAACGCTCTGGGGCCAATGAAGACGAAGCGAAAGCTGAGACCATTCGGAACCTGAGGAAGTCCTTCGCTAGCCTGTTTTCAGACTAAGTCTTTGCAGTGTTCTCACGCCCAGCTCCAAGGAGTGAGAACCTGTGGGAAACCCAGTGCCTGGCCTCACCCTTCTTTACAGGGCAACGGGAATGTGGTTGGATACATCTGGGATTTCGGGCATGAGTGCCAGTGACACGAAGGAAGTTTAATTTATAGACAGCAAGCTGTAATGTGAGTTCCTGTTTTCTTACTAAACCAAAAGGGCGGTTTAAAAAACACCTGTCAGATGTAAGTGTGTGTGGTGTGATTAACTGTGCACTTTATCTCACAAAGCAATTTTTCTGAGTGTTGTACTGGATGCAGTCATCAAATACGGAATGACCACCTACCTGAACTTCTGGTTTTATTTCCTCCAGTTTTACTCTCCTCCCCTCCTGAATACCATCTTACTTAGTACAGGAGTACAATGCCACAAGTACTTGAACGTCCGTCCTTCCAGTGTGAGCCTTTACGATGAGTGTTAGTAAGCTATTTGATCTTGTTCTTACCTGACATCAACACACTGTTCAGGATGGGGCACAGGATTGTACCTAAGTGGGAGGAATTCTGTTGGTGAATTCCCTTCCCCTGTCCTTGTCGAGGAGTACTGAAACCAATGGTGATGCCTCAGTGTTACCTGGGTTGAGATCAACTAACTCAGTTAATACCAGGAATCAACCCTGATATCTATATGTCTAAAACCCTTCAGAGAAATCTGTCCCACCGCCCAGCCAAATAACATGCTCAGCACTCACCATTTGGTCTCACACGTGAATAAAGGCCAATTGGACAAGGAACCAGAGGATGCCAACACCAATGGAACTGTATCCCAGCAAGTCTCCACTTTCAGTGGAGGGAGCAGATAACTGGCGCACTATATAGAATGTCAGATTCTATTAAAATCTTATCTATGTGCATATATTTATTTTTCATTTTTGGTATTCCCTCCTCGCTCTTCTCTATTCAAAGACCTACTTGGGGGCCTGGTAAAGGCTCTCTCTTCCTCCCCCCTATCCAATCCCCTCCCCAGTGTTATTAATAAGTTCAGCATTGAAGGAACATAACTCTGCAGAGTCTCAGGTACTGATGAAACATGCCCTTCTTGGAGCAGGGAACCGTTGTTCAAAATCAAGAGGCTGGTAATAACAGGAAGGTTCTGCTCTGCCTATAAGTGTTCACTCTTCTCTTTCCGTCGTCAGATTTCTGCAGTTTATTTATCAATCAACCAGTAAATTAATGTTGTGATGAGGAAGAGCGTTGTGCTTGTGCAAGTCTCTGGATCTTCTGCTCTGTGTCGTTGTGATGTACTGGAGTAAGATTACACTTTTTTTGAGAAATAAAGTCATTTTTGTGCTCTGGTTGATTAGTTGAGACCCATCTGCTCTTTTACGTGCTAGATGGAATGATCGGGTACACTTGCCACTCTGACACACAGACTGATGCACCATTCATTCCAAGCAGATTGCAAGTCATCTTCCTGCAGAGAGGGAGTGAAAGCAAAAGCTTCCATCTCCTCCTGGTGAGCTGCAGTTCATATAAGCCAAAGGTCTGAGGTCAAAGCTTGCTCTCTCAGTTGATCTAGTTGTATAATTGGGGGATGGGGAGGAGAGAAAAACAAATGTCAAAAGTAATGTTCTAAATATTTGTTTTGTACTTTACTGGAGTGTTTCGTCTACAACATCGAACCCAGAGTGTTTCATCCTCCGACACGCTGTAATATTGAACATTGAATCCAGTTGCTTTCATCCACAATCCACAGAAGCAATTAGGTACACATTCTTACAGTGGAGATGTGAGTTGAAGGGTCGGGTATATATCTGCGTGTCAAGTTAACACAAAAGCAATTGTGAATTGGACAGGAAGAATCATTCTAGGCCAGGAACACAATGGGTGAATAAAATCAGCAACGCTGCCCTGTCTACCTAATTATTTGATAGGTGGCACATCATTAACTCCTTTAGCCGGAATCTCTTCCACCATTCCACTTCTGTTTCAAGTCTCAGATAATCCTTGAGGCCATTTATAGCACCCTTATTGATCTTCCAGCTGAGATCAGACAACAGTATGAACCCGACATATTTCTGGCTTCAACAGTTCTGTCCCACACCATTTTCCAACTGAGTTAACAAGTTGATTTCTGCCAAATATGTCTTCCTTCTCCTGAGCAGTCCTCAGTCCATCAAACAGCACAGTCTAGAGGCAGTATAAGAAATTCTTTTTCCAGGTCAGGATCACAACCAAAGCTGTGTGCAGCTGAAAAGCTGAGCTTCAGCAATAAAGTTAATACAGCAAACTCTTGATAACTTATCATTCCAAGTGTCGTCTTATCTGGAGCAGAGTTAGGCATATGTATAAATACATAAATTAATGTGGCCAGGATATTGACAGCATGATGACTTAGGGGGTAATGATAAGTTAAGCCAGGATCGAGTTATCAGGAGTTTAGTGTGTAAGAGCAACATACGTTTCAAAGATGCAGCTTATAATTAACATTTGTTATTGGCTGTCTATTCTTTCTCTCTTAGCAATCCCCATTCCCCGCAAAACAAGTTAATCACAAATCAACCAAGGATACTCTTGTTATTCTCTTCATGGCTGACAGCAAGCAAGCCTGGAGGCAAGTTTGCTGCCTGTAGTGTTAGATGGAGGGTAATGCATTGGGGAACTAGATAGTAAAAAAGACTGTACCAGAACACTACAACGTGCATTTATATAATGCCATTCACGCAGAGAAGCGTCTCGGAGCCCTTGAATTCTGTCCATATATAGACATTCTGTCTACAAGTCCATCGATAACGGTTAGGGCTGGGCCGAAATTTGACATTTGAATAGAATGGGCTGTTGATTCAGAAGTTCCTGTGCCTACCAGTTTATTTGATTTTAGGATATAAATGACTTTCTATATTCTGAAAGCTATCCGATTGTAATCTGCATATTCGTATATCAAGACATGTAGATTCTCCTGTAACATAGCACTTCTGATGTCAAGTACAATTGTGCACTGCAGCTCTGTGGCATTGAACCTGATACCTTTCATCTGCTGAAATATTAAACAAGTTCTTTCTCTTAACAAGTTTTCAAGATAGTGGAGGTCAGCCCCTCAGGCTGAAGAAGGCAGCACAATCCTGATGGCTTATGGAACAAAGTTGAGAATTTAATAGCCTGGATGATTAAACTCTCCAGTGTACAATGGACGGCCAGTACTGTACTGCTTTTAACCAGCACAGCTATGTGAGATTTTACCTGTCACATTCCCATTTTATGACATAATGAACCAATTTCCTTCACCGTGATATTAACTTACACTCCTCAAAATCTAGACAACATCTCACACTCTCTCCTCTTCCTGCATTGAAATCAAAACATTCTTCTGGCTCCTACAACTACCTGAACAGTGGGATGATCCTTGTGGTTTTTCCTGAAGACAGGGGCTCTCTGCCTTTCTTCCTCCTATAATACAAGTTTGGTGTCACCTCACCACTAGATTTATCTAGCTGTCTACTTCATATGGTTATGTATTTCACTACAGATGTGGCTCTTCATCTAAAATCCTGAATAATGAAAACAGTCAGGTTTCAGCAAAGGTAAGAAACTCCATACTAGACTCAGGCGTAAGTCAGCCAGCATGGTACTCAGTTCATCCCCAATTGTCTTTGGAGGGGGGTGGGATTGGGGCAGGGGTGGGGAAAGAAATTCCTTTGAGGCTGCAAGCCAAAGCCTTAACAAGTTGGTGCTAGCTGAAGAAGTAGCAGGAAGCTCATCAGTGTTCACAATTGCAAACTGTTCAGTTTTAGTTGGTTAAACCTTAACAGTTCCCCACTGCACATTCTGAGAGTGTTTACCTCTGGGGAGAGAGTCACAATCCATTCCAGACAAGCTGAAACCATGCATACAGGAAACTTTCAGTGGGATAGTTTGGAGATTCTTAAACGTGGTGACAGGTATGTCAAATTACCCAATTGACCAAAGAAAATATTCGTACCACACAATATCAATTTCTTTGGAAATGGATTTATTTCAGTGCTTTTTATTGTAAGGTTAATGGTGCATTCAGTTTTAGCAAGCCATCTTCCTCTCACGTGCAGCATTCAAAACGCTCAGAAGATAATATTGAAATTACAATTTCATTACAATTGTTTGCAATCACTTTGTGCAACCCATTTTATGCAATTCTCCTAAATTACAATTGTCCGTCAAAATAAAGCAGCACGAATACAATTTAAATTTTCTATCAAAAACTATAGCCAACAAATCCAATTAAAAATTTGCTGTTGTGCTCCATTGCTGGCCTCCCACAGCAACAAAACATACTAACTTTCCATTATCTTGGGTCAGTTAAAGGAAAAGTCTTAAGTTCAGGATACGTATTTGCTATTCAGTCTTTGTTGTGCCTGTCACACTTGGATTGCCAGGTGGAGATAGAACTTCACGCTTGGTAGTGAGTAATTCAACATTTTAAAAAAAAATCAGATTGACAATGCCCAATAAAGAGATGTAGAAACTAAGAATGCTCCAATAAGCCTGTGTTTTCTGTGCAGAGTTCTTAGATGATGCCATGTCTGATATCCGATGATCCGCCTCTCCTGGGGGTCCCTGGAAACCGTGGTCCAGTAGCAGGGGGCATCCCTGGAATAGAACCAGTTGGATCAAACAGCGGCCTGAACGGCGGCAATGTTCCGGCACTGGGCCCATTCCAGGCAAGAATGGGTTAACGGGATCTCCTCTGTATGGCAGCTGCGGGCGTTCATCGTATTCTCCTCCAATGATCCCGGGTGGAAATATCGGATGCGGTTCAAATGGGAAGGGAGTGAAAGGGCAGGGTTGACTGGGAGGGATCGGCAGAGGACGTGGTAAATACAGAGGGCTCCTGTGGAATGACCTTTTCTTTGTCAGGTACTTTTCCTTGTACAGCTTTAAAAACAATGGTTACACTGAAGTTAGAACCGAATCTACCCAAATTCAAAAGATATTTTTCTGTATTCTGTTTATTATTTGACTCATCCCCTCACATTTAGTTACTTTGCTTCCTTCCCACTGTCTCAGTCACATCCCACAGGCCAATTAAGATTGCAGGTTGCCTGGCCTTTGCTCTGTGAGAGGCAGCAAGAAATGTGTGAGCTTGGTTTGGAATAACTTGCTCTCACACTATGCGCTCCTCTGGTGTGAATGGTAGAAAATGACTGATCTAAACTTGGAGCTTCCTGACAGCGTAGCTGAAATGAGGAACTCACTGGATCAAGCCAAATCCCATACCTTATTTTCTACCTGGCATTGAGTACTATGAGCGCCACACCGCCTCTGCCTTGATTTTTTTCCATACAATTAACGATATTTATTCCGTTATTCACTGTGTAGCTAACCATGAGTGTCATATTCTTGTGTTCCCATTCAAGAATCACTGCTTATTCCCAGACGCACAAGTATCTAATGGTCAAGCATTTGAACCCTAAGCACAATCAATCTCGCACCAATGTGAACTCTCTATAAAATCCTGGCTATGTAGCGTCACACCAAATTTCTCATTTGATCCTGCTTGAAAAACTCCACTTACTCGTTTCCAGTCTTGGCTGATGGTTCTTGTATCTGTTTCAAAGTACAGAAAAGGAAACAGTTTCAATAATGTTGAAAATAGGTGTGCGACACATAAAAATCTAATTGTAAAGCAGAGAGCACAGTGTAGAATTTGCCCCTGAGTAAGACTCTAATTACATGCTTGGTAGAAACGTTCTGAATAATGGGTTATGTACCAAGATCAGAAGGGAGAGTTCAGAGTGGAATACTTTCAATAGGAATTCTCTGGATGTAAAGGTGTGCCCCTCTCCTACTCAATACCACAGTACTCGTCTGCAAAGCCATTCAACTTCTGGTTCGCAGCTGTTAGCTATTTTTTACGCAAATTGTGATTGATAAATCCATGATCTAGCTTCACACACATTGGGGTTGTGAATTGGTGGGGAGGGACAAGAGAAGTGAGAGTCCATCCCCGGAATTTCAAAATAATTTAAATTATTAAATTATTGTAAATAATTTCTAAATTTTAACTGCAGTTTACAACTCAACACGCAACAGTTTTAAAAGGGAATTATACAGATTTATGATGTTGGTGAGGATTGTGAGGCAAAAAGCATTTAGAGATTGGGGTCAGCTGTAACATTCTATTCTAGACTTCTACATTTCTACTTTCCTAACAATATGACTTTGAAAGCAAAGCATCAGGCAATTGAACCCCTCCTGAATGCTTTACTCAACCATAAATAAGAACGATTAAATAGATTACTGCAGGAATTCAGGAATTTTAAAAATGCATCCGAGTTGACTTCTTATAAACCCATGTAACACAAACCAAACTCTGTTATACCTACACAACAGCCAGAAGATAGGATGCAGCCATTGCCTTTCAGTGTCAGCAGCACTCTCCACATGTTTAAAGATCCACAAACATTTTTGTGAGCCATCAGGGCTCTGCCACTTGGTGCAATTTTCCTTCAGTCATCTTGCTGGCTTGTCACTGAACTTCAATAAATCCTTACCTCGGAAATCCCTCAGGAACAGAAATCTCCAAAGCAACTGGTCGTTGATGGCAGTATTGAGATCACGGCACACCGACGAGAGAGATAAAATAGAGGACACATCCAGGAGTCGAAAAATTCTCAGCTTGATTTCCAGAGGTTGGACCACCAGACCAAACACATCAGGCAGATTTAAAGCTAGAATGGTACAAAAACTAAAATAAAAACAAAGCAACACTTTGCAGAACGGAAACTCTTTGCATGGTAAGCAAAACTGCATTTGCCCTTTCAATACAACTGCACTTATAAAGGTCAATCAACAATGCTACAAAGTGCTGACACAATTCAGAAAGGAGTTTCTCCTGGTATCCTGTCCAACAATCCCCCAAATAAAACCTGTTATTCATTTCAAATATTTGTGGGACATTGCCATATGCAAATTGGCTCTGCATTCACCCACAACATGTACACTTTGCAGTATATCCTCTGAAACGTTTTGAGACGTCCACCCAACATGAAAGGTACTATATCAAGTGTAAGGATTATTAGTACATATACAATTTATATTTGTATGGTACCTTTCGCATTGGGAGGCTATCTCAAAGCGCTTCATACAAGTTTCAAACCAACATGTAAAGATGACAAGCCCTGTTTGAAAATTGTTACTTTATGTCACTGAAAACCAAGCATCCAATGTTTTTAAAGAAACCGACAGAAAAACATTAACTTGGTTTGACTTTGGGGATAAATAAAAATGTAAACAGGTTGTTTACCTTGCCTTGCATTTGCCAGCAGAGGATACACCAGCTGATCTTTGAACATGCAGGACAGTTTTCGCAGATCTTTGTACACTTCCGCAGCATTCTCATCTTGGAAAGATAAACAGCAGGTTCTCAGACACAACAAAGTCTGATGGAAACTGAATTCCAAAATTAAGTAGTGTATTTTGAACTCCGTTCAGAGTGTTCAATGTTAACATTTTTACAAAAATCTTTATTTTCCCATGTTAACAATTAAGGTTCTACACGGGGTCAGCAAGGTCAGTGTGGGAGGCCAGTGCGGGAATGGGGTCAGCGCGGGAGCAGGGTCAATGTGAGATGTCAGTGCTGCAGCAGGAAGGCCGAGGTCTCGGGGATCGGAACTAGTTGTAGGCACCGAAGGTTGAGCGGAAATCAGCGCTGGAGTTGCAGCCATCATTTGGTCCAGATGTGGAGACGCCATTCCAAAGTCTCCCATCTGAACCAATGCCCGAAACTCCCTGTGTGACATAATTTCCGCCCACCAGTTTTCAAATACTGTAATCGGGTATAGTTTTATTTTTATTACTACTATCGCCTTCCATTCCTCTCTTTTTCTTGTAAACTTCTCTGTATTATTTTCCAGGTTATTTTTCACGTTCTCCCTCGACCCCATCACTACCCCTTTCCTTGAGACGTCGAGAAGACGTGAAAAGCACTATATCAAATGCAAGGATTATTATTATTATTACCTCCCCTCTCCACCTCCTTGCCCCTCTACGCACAGACATGATCAACCTCTTCTTGTCCACTGGCACTGATCCCACTCCCTTAACAACTGCCGTCATCATCCCAATCCTCAAAAAATCTTCTCTGCATCCATCCCTGCTCTCAAATTTCCAAACCATATCCAACCTCCCTTTCCAAGGTCCTAGAAAGTCATTGCTACCCAGCTTCGCTCCTTCCTCTCCTTCTATGAACCCCTCCAATTGGGTTTCCATGCTGCCCGCAGCACAGAAACAGCCTTGGTCAAAGTGACAAATGACGTTTTATCCATCTGTGACCAGGACTCCCTCTGTCTCCTCACCCTCCTTGACCTCTCTGCTGCCTTTGACACTGTAGACCATTCTATCCTCCTCCACCGCCTCTTCTCATTTCAACCTTCATGGTTCTATCCTTGACTGGTTTAGATTCTACCTTTTACACCGGCTCCACTTTGCCTAAACTAACAGCTTCCTCTCCAGTCCCCACACTGTTTCATGCGGCGTTTCTCAGGGCTCTGTCCTTAGTCCTCTTCTCTTGGTGACATCATCCGTATCTATACGCTCCCTCTTGGTGACATTATCCGCAGACATGGGGTCAACTTCCATATGTATGCCGCTGACACAGAACTCTATCTCACTGCCTTCACCCTCGACTCCACGGCCACTGCTGTCCTGACAGAATGTCTGTTAGACATCAAATCCTGGATGAGAGCTAACTTTCTCCAGTTGAACGTCAACAAGACAGAGGCCCTCCTGATTGGCTCCCATCAGCACTTCCATACCTCAGGCACTGGCAGCATCACCATCCATAGAAGCACACTCCACCTCACTGTGCTAGCCCAGAACCTTGGAGTCTTGTTTGACCCTCAACTGTCCATTCTACCCGACATTCGTGCCATGCCTCTGCCTTTCCCCATCGCCTGGCTCCACCATTGCCACTCTCTTCAGGCCTCCACCTTCATCCACACTTTTATTACATCTGGGCTCGACTATGCCAACTCCCTGCTTGTTGGCCTTCCCAACTCTTCCCTCCACAAGCTGCAGATCATTCAGAACTTTGCAGCTCATGTCTTCTCTTGCACCAGGCTTCATGACCCTATCACAACCACGCTTGCCTGGCTCCAATGACTCCCCATCCCCCAGAGGATAGAGTCCAAAATCCTCGTCCTCACCTTGTTCGTTCCTACTTCTGCGACCTGCTAACACCATATCGACCTGTCTGCTCCCTCCACTCAGCAGCCTGCTCCACATCCCCGCCCTGTCCCTCCCCACCATTGGTGGCCAGGCCTTCAGCCTCTTTGCCCCATCTTTCGGAACTCCATCCCACAGGCCCTTCGCTTTGCTCCCTCCCTTGCCTCCTTCAAGGCACTTGTCAAAACCCTCCTCTTTGACTGCGCTTCAGCCACCCTCCTACCCCTATCCTCCGTGACCTCCACCACTCCTGATCCCAACCCCTTGCTTGGGTCCAAATCCCTCATTGTCCAGCGCTTTGGGATGTCCTCCTGACATGAAAGTCGCTATACAAATGTAATTTGTTGTTGTTGTTGAAATAAATTGCAGGATCAAAGACCAAATGTTCCATTTTAAATGCAGGCACACAGTGGTCAGAAACAGAACTCACCTGGTCTATTTGAATCAACATAGGACCCTGGTGATAGCTGCACTTTCTTTACACTTTTAACAATATCACTGATTTTCAGCAAGGCTGTTGGGAAACAAAAAGCCATGTTCAATACAATCACAGGTGGCAGAACTCTGATCAGCCGCTAATTCATGAGGTTGATATTGTTTTAGAAAACTGTCTACCAGCGGGTAAAAATTCCGGTCAAGTATAGCTTAATTTCCAGGTAATGATTAGAAGATTATCTTTATCCCACAATTATGTCGGATTGAAATATCACAGGTTAAATCAACTATCCATTGAAGACTTCCATGGAGCAATTTGATAAGCACGTCTACCGAGTGCAGGTTACCGTTGACAACAATCAGATTTGCCATTGGGACACAGGTGAGCACAGCTAAACCATCTTCGCAGAGCGGGTGACTGTAGTGAAGTCTGTATATGCCTCCGTTCCTCCATTTCTCGGGCATGCTGCCAACCTTCACTCCTGTACCCTATGGAGAGCAAGGAGCAAGGGAGGTGTTAAAAAAGTGATTTATTTTTAAATTATTTACATTTTTCTACCCTTCCTTGTGCTGACTGCCAGTACTGACTCCAGCTAATTGTAGAGAGCTCCGGTTCCATTCACATTTATCCCCAACAAATCAATCCTCACAATTGAGAAGGACCTGCATTAAAGGTGTGGAACACATTGTGGTGGCATTAGGAGAGCCTGCCATGTTCTGAAATCAAGTGAAATGCTAAATCTGTTTTCAATGATAATGGAGCTGGTGCCACCTGCTGTCACAAAATAAAACTGAAAATCTGACAGCATTTCACCAAACTGTGGACTGTGAGCAGTATGAACATTTGCCACATTTCCTTGACCTGAACTTTCCCTCTCTGTGACAGCACTGCAGTTTGAGAGTTCAATGAACACCATTACATGACCCCTTCAGCCATGGTTAGCTAAGGAGACACCTGGACTTACAGAATTTTTTTTTCCACCACAGATCCTTCAATTGCTTCAGAAGCATCTACAAATCTCTCACTGTTCTCCCTCTTATAGCTACACTTACTTTCCACGGTGCCCAATGCAAAATAAACCCTCAGAAATTGTTCCAAAATGTTACTTGCACTGTTGCACTAAGCAATGCTTTGTACATTTGACAAATTCAAATCAATGCTTGAGCAGCAGGCTTGTAAATGTGGACATTCTCCCAGGCTCTCACAGATATGGTAACTGTTACCCCCACCCCCCACCATGTCATATCAGGCTCTGAACGTTGATTTTACCTGTGGTATATATCCCGCCTCAAGCATGAGGAGATGGAGCACTACAATCAGGGCGTCCGAAGGGCTTGTGCATTCAGCAGAATGGTGCAGAATTTCAAGAGAGTGTGGTACCTTCCCGTCAAGAGCTTCACTGCACAGCATTGGCTCATACGGGCAGGCAGTCATGTTCTCCTCACTTCCTATTTCAGAATCAACAGTTACCATGTTCGAAGACATACTTGGAGAGACTGACTGGGTTTGCTGATCGTTCACACAGGCCACTTTGGGAGCAGTACTGGAGGATGAAGGCTGCTGATTAGCAGTATTCTGGCTCGATACTGAGACTGAAGGAGCAGAGGATTCGGGCAGTATTAAAGAGATCAAATCCCCACCGACAATTCCAATGCTTGCCAGGGTCTGTTCGTCATCCGTCAGAGAATCCTTACCATTTAAAGAAATGCTGAACTGTGTGGTAGAACTGAAAAACAAGCCAAGTAGTCTCAAAATTAAATCAAAAGCTGCAGCAAAACATGAGTAATATATTGTCCCTATACAAAAACTTCAAACTAGAGAACTCACAAGAGAAAATAAAGACAGAAGTGGCTGGGATCACTCAGCAGGTCAGGCAGCATCTATGGAGAGGCAAAAGTGAGTTAACATTTCAGGTCGATGACCTTTCAATCGAACTGACGAAAGGTCATCGACCTGAAACATTAACTTACTTTCCTCTCTCCATAGATGCTGCCCGACATTAGAGTATTCTCAGCAACTTCTACTTTTATTTCAGATTTCCAGCATCTGCAGTATTGTGCATTTCCTTCATAACAACAACACTTGCACTTATATAGTGCGTCTCAGAGCGCTTACAGTGGAGAGGGGGAAGGTTGGCTGTAAGCACATTCGAAGAGGAATGTTTTCAGACGTGACTTGAAAGAGGGGAGAGAGGGATGTTCTGTATATTAATTTAATATATATTATTAATATATATGTTAATATAATATCTATGTTCTATATATTAATATAACATAGAAAATGTCCTATGCATACTTTCACTGTAGTTTATTGAAAATGAAACAAACTTTCAGTTCTGCCCTCCCTCAAAAAGGTGATATTTCTACAATAGAAATTGTATTATCTCAGATTCCATGCTGCTGATCTTGCCACAGTATTGTGAGAAAACTAAAGTGAGCCAATGCAAAATAAATTATGGAATATTTATAAGGCTAAGGCAATAATTCCATTTCAGGTTTTGAATTACATTCATAGAATCATACAAGAATTATATAGCACATAAGGAGGCCATTCGGCCCATCTTGTCTGTGCCGGCTCTTTGAAAAGAGCTATCCAGATCACTCCCTCTCTCTCTCGCCATAGCCCTGCATACTTGTCCTCTCAAATAATTATCTAGTTCTCTCTTAAAAGTTGTTATCGAATCGGCTTCCACCACACTTTCAGGCAATCCACTCCAGATCCGAACAACTCGCTGTGTGAAAAAATTTCTCCTCATCCCCCTTGTTTCTTTTAACAGCTATTTTAAATCAATGCCCTCGGGTTAGTGACCCAACCGCCAGTGGAAACAGTTTCTCCTTGTTCACCCTATCGAATGCCCTCATAATTTTGAAAACTTCTATTAAATCTCTTAACCTTCTCTGCTCCAAGGAGAATAATCCTAGCTTCTCCTAATAACTGAAGTCCCTGATTCCTGGTACCATACTAGTAAATCTCCTTTTCACCCTCTCCAATGCCTTGACATCCTTCCTAAAGTGTGGTGCCCAGAACTGAACACAGAACTCCAGCTGAGGCCTAACCAGTTTTATAAAGGTTCATCATAACTTCCTGACTTTTGTATTCTATGCCTCTATTTATAAAGCCTGGTATCCTGTATGCTATTTTTAACAGCTTAATCTACCTGTCCTGCCACCTTCAAAGATTTACTTATATGAACCCACAGGTCTCTCTGTCCCTTCATCCCCTTTAAGATTGTACAATCTAGTTTATATTGCCTCTCCTCATTCTTCCTCCTAAAATGCATCACTTCGCATTTCTCCACATTAAACTTCATCTGTCCCTTTTACCAGTTTGTCTATGTCCTGTTGCAGTCTGCTACTACCCTCCTCATTTTTACCTCTTTTCCTAGCTTAGTATCATTTGCAAACTTCGAAATTGTACTCCTTACCAGGTCCAGGTAATTTATATAGATCAAAAAGTGCAGTGGTCCCAATACTGATCCCTGGGGGACACCATTACACACTTCCCTCCAGTCAGAAAAACAACCGTTCACCAACACTCTCTGCTTTCTGCCTCCCAGCCAGTTCTGTATCCATGCTGCCACTGTCCCTTTAATACCGTGGGCTTCTATTTTGCTTACAAGTATCTTATGTGGCATTTTATCAAACGCCTTTTGAAAATTCTAGAAGGTGACTCAAAGTACATGTCAGTCAATGATTGAGAATCATGTCTATGAACGGTTTCCATTTATCAGCAAGTGATATTTTCAAGAATGCCCAAAAATTGTTACTAGGTTATAGAAAGCAAGTAGGTAACATATGGTATTGTGTTCAGATGAAAAAGATATTATTTATTTCAAACTAAAATCTCAGCACAGATACTTTGTTAACTGGCCAGCCATGGGAACAACCCTAATTCAACAACACTGACCTGTATCCAAAGGTTGGCAGGAAGGAATCAGCGATCTTATGATGTAGTTCTGCAACAGTAGGATTATTCCCTTCCAGCTCCACCCAGCCTCTTTGCTTCAGAATCCGCACCCGTAGCTTCATTGTGCCAGAATCAACGTGAGCTGATATTCACAAAGGCCCTGGAGGGCTGCAGAAAAAAACACGATCAGAGTCACAAGAATATCCCTCAAAATCCATGCGTATTGTCGGTGTAATGACCCACTGTCCCATCAGGAGCTGGAACACATCACTTCAGACCTCAAATCTCCACCTGACTGGTTCTAGTTTCCCAGTAGTATCTGCATTTCCTTATAGGAGTTGGGTTGGGTTGGGTGTCATCTGCATACATGTGGAAGTTGATCCCAATGTCTGCGGATGATGTCAACAAGAACAACTTGCATTTATATAGCGCCCTTCACAGCAGACGGCGTCTCGGAGTGTTTAACAGTGGGTAGCGCGATGCCGAGCCAGGGGGAGGTGGAAGGTGACCGTAGGTACAGTTAAAGAGGAAGGTCTTCAAGCGTGACCTGAAAATAGGGAGAGATGGGCAAAGTGAAGGGATTGAGGGAGAGAGTACCACAGCTACGGGGTGTAGTGGATGAAAGCACAGTCACTGATGATGAGACAGAGGATCCGGGGGACAAGGAGGTGTCTGGAGCCAGTCGAGCAAAAACAGCGGTGTAGGGAGAGAGCAGGTTGGAGTGATGAGTGGGTTCCACTGCGTGAAGGGATTTAAATACAAGAGTGAGGATCTTGCAATTGATTCGCTCTGTGACAGGGAGCCAATGGAGTTTGACAAGGACTGGGGTAATGGAGATATGGAGTTTATTGTGGATGAGAATGCGGTCTGTTGTCACTAAGAGGAAGCATGTAGGTGTTGAAGAGGAGGAGATCAAGGACAGAGCCCTGAAGAATGCCACACAAGCTGGTGCGGGGGCTATAGGAGAAGCCGTTTGTGGAGACAAAGTAGGATGTGAACCAGTCAAGTACACAGCCATGAAGGTTGCAGTGGCAGGAGAGGCGGTGAAGGAGGACAGAGTGGTTAGCGGTATCAAAGGCAGCAAAGAGGTTAAGGAGGACGAGGAGGCAGAGGGAGCCCTGGTCACAGATGGACAATATGTCATTTATCACTTTGATCAAGGCTGTTTCTATGTTATGGGCAGCATGGACACCCAATTGGAGGGGTTCATAGAGGGAATGGCAGGAGAGGAAGGCGTGAAGCTTGAAGCAACATTTCGCTCCAGAACCTTGGACAGGAAAGGGATGTTGGAGATGGGGCAGTAATTGGAAAGCAGGGATGGGTCCAGGAAAGGATTTTTGAGGATGGGGGTGATGATTGTTGTTTTTAAGGGGTTGGGGATGGTACCAGTAGACAAGGAGAAGTTAATTAATCATATCTGTGAGTAGATGGGCAAGGAGGTGGAGCTGGGAGGTAAGGAGAGGCGTAGGAATGGGGTCAAGGTCCTGGGTGGTGGGTTTCATTTGGGTCATGTTATATATTAATAATATTATTATTATTATTATTATAATGGTGGTGAGAGAGGAGGTGGAAACAAGGTCCAAGTTATTGAGGGAGGGATGGGTAGGGGCTGGAGTATGAGGGGAAAGTGGGGAGCGGCTAAACTGCAAATTGGACTCCCAAACGTCCAAGTGAAATGTTAGGGCAAAACTGGATGGCAATTTCAACAGACATGCAGGATGTCACAAACGGCAGCATCAATGTCATTTTCAGGAAACTATTCTGTCAGTTTCACTTTCAATTTCAAGTTAAACATAAATACAACACCAATAAGCTCTGAGATGCGTGAAGGGCGCAATGTAAATACAAGTTGTTATAAACAATTTGGTATTATAAACAATTAAAGTGAAATAAATGGATAAATAAAACAGATAAAAGATAAATAGATATCTAAAACAAATAAAACAGATCTTAATTAAAATACAGACTCTTCCCCCTCCCCAGTAGCTGAAATCTCAAGGACTACATTTGGATTTTCCCCAGGATGTCCATCCCTGTTCCCCCCAGGTCAGATCTTTGGCAAGTTTCGTTACTCCACACGCCTGTTTACTTAGCAGAATGCAAGGATTTTTATTATTATTAAGTAGGAACCCGGTTATTAGTCAATTGGCGGATCGGGTACCGGGAGTAATAATTGCTCCAAAAAAAATGTGGTCACTCAATCCACGGCCGCCGCGTTTCGCCCACAAAATCCACAATCAATTCGCTTTACAGTATATTCTGTGGAGCGCTTTGAGGCGTCTCAACGACGCCACAAGGCGCTACAGAGGATTATTATCATTATTTTAGTCCCCAAGAGGCTCGCGGGCCGCCCCGGGTCACAGGGAGATGCTGAGGGTCAGTGACAGGGCCGGGGGTGGGGGGTGGGGGGTGGTGGTGGTGTGGGGGTGGGGGGGGGGGTGGGGGTGGTGGTGGTGTGGGGGGGGGGGTTCAGGAGGTGAACAGTTACAGTTGATATGAATAACGAGCCCTGGCCTCCCAGGGGTCGGGGAAAAGCTCACCCGCCTCTCGCCCTCTCGGGGCCCGGCCATCACTTACAGCCTCTGCCTGACCACGGTTACTCACTGCTCCGATGTAACCCCCGCTCGTTGCTCCCAGTCGGTCGCTATGGGGACGAGCACTGTCGGTTACTATGGTTACGTCTCCCGGTTGGTACGAGCACTAGTCCGCGACCACGGTCACTACCGCCCCCGACAGCCAGTCCGACTGCGACTGCGACCGACTCGGTCACTGACGCGTCACCACCTCTTGGTGGCGCCGCGCAGACTGGCACTGCGTTTCTTGTGACGATTTGATGGTGGAGCCGCCATCTTTGGTCAAGGCATCAATGTCTGGTTGATGTTAATGCTGACACAAGCTCATTCATTCCTTGTTTTGCTTCTCAGGTAGGCAAAGGGTCACTTATTGGGAAGGAAAGGCCTTCGTTTGGGCTGAGGAATGTAAACCAATTCTCATAAATGTTACTTTTTTTAAAAAAAAACAACACAACATGAGTTTGTCGAACAAAATATACAGTTGCTGCACTTTACAGTAGATCCTGCAAAGTGTTTTGAGATATCCTCCTCTGCTATATCAAATGCAAGGATCTTATAGCAATTTGTCAACATTAGCAGCTTCTGGCTCTTCTAAGTTGCAATACGATTGAACTGGAAAAAGGCCACCAAGTTGACAGTTATTATTACTGTATCAACCTGTCCGCGCTCTCTGCTCAGCAGGCTCTGACCTGCTCCACCATTGGTGCCCAGACCTTCAGCCTTTCTGGCCCCACCCTATGGAACTCCATCCCACATTCCCTTCGCCTCGCTCCCTCCCATGCCTCCTTCGAGGCAGTGTCTCAAACAACAACAACAAGATTATATTTATATAGCGCCTATCACGTCGGGACGATGTCCCTCAAAACCCTCTTCTTCAGCCACCCTCCTACCCTCCCCCCTCCCCGATCCTGACCCCCAGCTCAGGTCCAAATCCCTGACTGTCCAGCGCCTTGGAATATCCTCCCGAATTGAAAGGTGCTGTACAAATGTCATTTGTATTGTATTATTAAAATGTAGCTGTTATTAAAAATGTAGCATTTAAAGGGGCACCTGCTCATAAAAACATCTGTAGACACAGCAAAATTGTGCAAATGAAGTTGAACACATTACCAGGTGCATATAATACATTATCAAGTTATTGTGGAGTTCTGTAGCTCAGTGCAAGCGAAAGACCTGAATTCAATTCCAGGCAGAGGGCGAAACCTTGGGCAAGTTTCCTTACTCCACACACCTAATAATAATCCCTCCAAAACCAAAAACAATGATAAATTGGGTCATTTTCAATCCACGACTGTTTGTGGGACACTGCTGTGCGCAATTGGCTGCCGCGTTTTGCCCACAAATATACGGTCGGCTCACTTTACAGTATTCTGTGAAGCGCTTTGAAACGTCGAGAAAACGTGAAAAGCGCTTATATCAAATGCAAGGATTATTATTATTATTATTATCGAGACGTCTCAAAGAGTTTCAGGGGAGAGAGAGCGTAAAGTGGATTGATTTTATATTTTGTGGGTGAAACTCAGCAGTCAGTGCTGGATCAGCTTTGTTTCCCACCCCCTCCCAAGGATCACCCCCCACCCCCCCCACAGGAGCCCTGCCCACTTGGTCCCGCTGGGTTGCTGGCGGCGCTGAAACGACCCATTTCGAGAATCGCGGTGCTTTTGCGGATCTCGGTTTGAACCGCGCGGGTCGCGGTGGGCGCAGTGCGCACGCGCAGACGCCCCTGAGTCGCGATGAGCCGCAGCTACAATGACGAGCTCGGCTTCTTGGAGAAGGTCCGCAAGAACTGCTGGAGGATCAACAAGGGCTTCGTGCCCAACATGCAGGTCAGTGAGGCCCCGGTGACTGCCAGTGCCGGACGAGCGCGGCTTCCAGGCCATCGGCCGCCTTCATTCCGAGGGGACGTGGCCCCACCTGACACCCTTCCCCCACTCACCGTGTGCGTTGTTGTTGTTGTGGGGGGGGGAACTGCTGGAGTCCCACCAGCTACAACAACAACAACAAGATTCCATTTATAAAGCGCCTTTCACGTCGGGAGGACGTCCCAAGGCGCTGCACAGTTGGGTCAGGACCCGAGCATTGGGGGGGAAATGGTCAGGGTGAGGGGAGGGGAGGGAGGGAGCGAGGAGGAGGAAGAGAGTCGAGAGGGGAGCTGAAGGCTCGGTCAAAGAGAAAGGTTTTGAGACCGGCCTTGAAGGAGGAAAGGGAGGAGACGGCGAAGGCACTGGGGGATGGAGTTCCAGAGCCTCGGGGCTGAGAGGCTGAAGGCCCGACCACCGATGGTAGGGCAGTTGGGGCGGGGGACGTGGAGCAGACCGGAGCCAGAGGAACGGAGGGTACGGGCAGGTAGGTAGGGGGATAGTAGGTTGGAGAGGTAGGAGGGAGCAAGGCTGTGAATGGCCTTGTAGGTGAGGATGAGGATCTTGAAATCAATCCTCTGGGGGATGGGGAGCCAGTGGAGGCGAGCGAGGGTGGGAGTGATGTGATCGCGGAACCTGGTGCGGGACAGTACACGAGCTGCAGAGTTCTGAATGACCTGCAGCTTGTGGAGGGAGGTGGCGGGAAGGCCGGCGAGGAGAGAGTTCCCATAGTCCAGCCTTGAGGTGACAAAGGAGTGAACCAGGGTTTCAGCAGCGTGAGGGGTGAGGTAATGCCGTAGTCTGGCGATGTTCCGGAGGTGATGGAAAGCGGTGCCAGTTGTGGTGCGGATGTGAGGGAGAAAGGACAGCTCAGGGTCGAACAAAACGCCGAGGTTCCTGACTGGCTTTGAGAGGTGGAGAGTACAGCCTTGGATGCTGATGGTGTCGGCGCCTGAGGTGCGGAGGCGCTGACGCGAACCAATCAGGAGGGCCTCGGTTTTTCGCACATTGAGCTGAAGAAAGTTGTCTCTCGTCCAGGACTCGATGTCGGACAGGCAGCTGTCAGGACATCGGTGGTCGTGGAGTTGAGAGTAGAGGAGGAAAGATAGAGTTGGGTGTCATCCGCATACATGTGGAAGTTAACTCCATGTCTGCGGATGATGTCACCAAGGGGGAGCATATAGAGGGTGAAGAGAAGGGGACCGAGGACAGAGCCCTGAGAGACTCCACATGAGACAGTGCGGGGGGTGGAGGAGAAGCCATTCGTCGAGACAAAGTGAAAGACAACAACAACAACAACAACGTTTGCCATTGATAACGCCTGTCATGTAAGCCTTCCTAATGCTTGTCCAGCTCGGACCACCCTTCCCGTTGGGGCTTTGCCCTCCAGGGTTAGCAGGAGCCGAGAGACACGAGTTCCAGCATCCAACAACAACAACTTGCATTTATATAGCGCCCCTCACACAGGGTAACCTCCCAGAGCCTCAGTGACTGGTCTGTACCTCCGAAATCCTACCGATGGGCTGGGCTGTCATCAGCGGTGCCTTGGAGAACCGCAGACCCACCTGGCTCAGGAACCAGACTACTACGTGAAAAGCGCTATATCAAATGCAAGGATTATTATTATTATTATTATTACTCAGACAGGCACAGAGGGCTGGCTTGATTCCGGCATTCATTCCTTTGCCAAGCATGTCACCTTGAAGTCGGTTCAGTTCCGAGGAGACCCTTCTTACCTTCCCGCGCCCCCCCCCTCCACGCAGAACAATCCAGGTTAGCTAGTGGTAGACTATTGTAAGTAGCGATGCCGCTTCTCAGAAAGACTAAACCCGTATTGCTGTATTTTATTATTCTAGGTGGAAGGTGTGTTTTATGTCAATGAACCCCTGGAGAAATTGATGTTTGAAGAATTACGAAACTCTTGTCGTGGTGGAGGTAGGAAGACATTTCAACTACAAACTTTTTGTTTGATGTGTAATGGTGTAGTACCTGGATTCTAAAAGGTGAATACGTGCACATTTGTTGGGTATGGAATTTTAACAGCTGTGCGAAAGACCTCCTTGACCTCTCTGCTGCATTTGATACCATCGATCACTCTATCCTCATTATTACTATTATTATCCACCACCTCTCCTCTCACCTCAACCTTCATGGTTCTGTCCTTGAATGGTTCAGATCGTACCTCTCACACCATCTCCTCTTCATCTCCACAAATGGTTACTTCTCTAGCCCCCGCACCCGCCTCGTGCAACGTTCCTCAGGGCTCTGTCCTCGGTCCCCTCCTCTTCAACATCTATAATGCTCCCTTTTGGTGCCATTATCTGCAGACATGGGGTCAACGTCCACATGCATGCGGATGACACCCAACCGTATCTCTCTGCCTCCACCCTTGGCTCCAGGACCACTGTTGTCCTGACAGAATGTCTGTCAGACAACAAGTTCTGGATGAGAGCTAACTTTCTTCAGTTGAATGTCAACAAGACCGAGGCTCTCCTGATTGGCCCTCATCAGCGCCTCTACACCTCAGGCGCTGTCAGCATCACGATTCAAGGATGCACATTCCACCTTACTAAGCCAGTCCGGAACTTTGGCGTCTTGTTTGACCCTCAAAAATCCTTTCTACCCCACATCTGTGCCACGACTCTCCCTGTCTTCCCCTACCTCTACAACATCACCCGGCTCTGCCATTGTCTCACACTGCAGGCCGCCGAAACCCTCATACACGTATTCATAACATCCAGGCTTGACTATGCAAACTCCTTGCTTGTCGGCCTCCACAACTCCTCCCTCCATAGGTTGCAGATCATCCAGAACTCTGCAGCCCGTGTCCTCTCACACACTAGGTTCCATGACACTATCACACCCATCCTCGCCTGACACCACTGGCTTCCCATCACACAGAGGATCCAGTTCAAGATCCTGGTCCTCACCTTCAAAGCCACCCATGACCTCATCCCACTACCTCTGCAACCTTCTAATCCCCTACCAACTTGCCTGCTCCCTCCGCTCAGTGGTCTCTGGCCTGCTTCAACACCCCCGCCCACCTGTTTACTTGTGGGCAACTCTTCATTAACTTTTGTTTTCTCAAAATGGAAAAATTTATGTGAATGTAATGATAAATGGGAGTTGGATTTTATTATTGGATTCACAGTGTCTTTGACATGCAGCTAATCAAACACTAATGGTGCAGATTAGCAGTAAACAATAAATTGTTTGACTTTGTGCCTTTGTTAATGAACAATGGCAGTGTTCCAGTGTTTGCTTTCAGGAACTGAAGACCTACAAACCTGACTGTTCATCAGAGCACAAAATGGCCTGCAGCTTTGGCACATCCTGTGCTCAGTGAGCTCCAGACTGGCAGAAACTCCATCTCAGAAGAGTGATGGAAGATGAATCATTGATTACAGCAGAGGGGCAGACTGCTCAGAAAAGTAGAAAGGCAGAGTGCAGAATTTAAATACAGCATGCAGCATCTTTGGGTTTATTTGGTTAAACCACAAGACAAGCTGTATATCAGGAGCATCCATGTTGCTGTGTTTTATATCAGTAGAACAGACTCTAGCCACAATGTCATCTTCTGTCAAGGATCACGATGTCTGAAATTTGAATGGTCTCATAATGAGACTTTCAACAATAGGAAGCTCACCTTGTGTACTGGAGTGGGCCAAGTGGTTAGATTAGTTGACACCAAATGAGCTAGGATGCGCCATACACACACAGCTTCATTGTTCCTATACTTGCTGGTTATCATCATATATATATTCTTACTTCTTCAAGTAAGTTGCATTTACCATATGCGACTGAAGGAAACCTTAAAGTTTGTTTTTGACCCTTTCCAGGTGTGGGTGGCTTCCTACCAGCTATGAAGCAGATTGGGAATGTGGCAGCGTTGCCTGGGATTATTCATGTGAGTTGATGAGAAGCTATTAAGATTTGCTGACACGTGCTTTTTAAAAAATATTTAAATGTAAGAGAGGGAAATGAGGTGTCACATTGGAACATTGCCCCACTACTGTATTAAATTGCTCTGCTTGTTTGGAGTTTACATTTGAATTACAGTGTCATCAATCAGATCATTGTGCAATTTATCAGATGCAGTGATCTCCTCAGCCTGTGATGCTTGGGCGTCACAGCAGGATTGCGCTCCTATGACTGAATGAATGTCCTGTGACAATTCTTTGAATGAAGGGCTTTACACCAAGTGATTTAAACTGCAATGCAAACTTTGATTTTACTGTATGTTGCACTGTCTCCCTGTATTGAGTGAAATAGTATAAGTAGAGTGAAGCTGATGCATGGCGTAGAGATTTGATTTTTGAGAGTGATATAACTATTAGTGAATTATTGTATTCTGGTGCAAAGCACAGGGCTCAGGTAAGCTGCTGCACAACATTTTCTTAAAGGCGAGCCAAATCTTTCTGGTACCCACAGCAAGCACGCTTTCCATGAAGATTTTAAAATGAAATATTTGGGAGTGTAGATAAAGAGGCTGATAGAGTATCTGTGTCAAGCCAACATTAAAGCTAAAATGTGTCACATTTAGATTGTAATAAGAATAATCCTTGCATTTACTATTTCATTGCAGGATCTTTTACAAAGTCTTTTATTTTTTTAGAAATCCATTGGACTTCCTGATGTCCACTCGGGTTATGGGTTTGCAATTGGGAACATGGCAGCTTTTGACATGAATGATCCCCAGTCTGTTGTTTCGCCGGGTAGGAATCTTGATCTTTTTCTTAATTACCATATTCTAATGGAGCCAGTGCACAGCTGTAAAGCACTGGACCAGTGGAAGATTTGTTTTAAAAGAAGTCTCCTTGTGGATTATTCTGCTTTCTTGTACTTTGCGGGCAAAATGTGTTTTTTAAAACCAATGTTTTGCACTCTTTCTGCTAATGTTGTTATGCAACATGCTTGGAGATGTTACTTCAATGTAGAATGGTATGGTTGCTTGAACTGCTTTCCATGCTCCAAAGCTGTGGTGCTGTGTGGGGGAAGGTTCTTCCTGCCCTGCTGCAGATTGAGAAAATTTTATAGATTCATAGAATGTTGCTGTATAAAATCCATTAAAATGCCTGGGCAGTGCTTCCTGCACTTTGACTAAGAAGGAATAGGAGGTTCACAAAGTGGAGGAGAAGATGTTATAAGACTATATGAAAGTATTTTCTTCTTTGGCAGGTGGTGTGGGGTTTGATATAAACTGTGGAGTGCGCTTGCTGCGAACTAACCTCGACGAAGGGGACGTGCAGCCAGTGAAGGAACAGCTGGCCCAGGCCATGTTTGATCACATTCCCGTAGGGGTGGGCTCGAAGGGAGTCATCCCAATGGGCGCCAAGTAAGAGTGCTGCTGGATAGGAGCTGGACAAAGCCTTCAGTGAGGCTGATGAACCTTATAAGGTTTTGTTAAAAAGAACTGGTCACTTACTGCTGTGCGAATGGTATCATTAATTGTTTGAAAAAGGTTTACCTTTAATGTCAACGTATTTGCTCTGATTTGCCTTTGAGGCCAAGGAGTGTACTGCAGAGTGGGGCTCGCAAGTTGGTGGTTTTAATGTGTGCAGCGATGAATATTAGTTCTCATTGATCACAACTGACATAACCAATTCTGAGTTGCAAAGTTGTGCACTTAAGCAGGTCACCTAGGAGCTGAGCTGGATCCAAAGGTGAAATGCTTGGCAATGGAATATCAGAATCGAGTGAACTCTCTCTTGTGGTCTCAGTCATCCAGTACCTGAGACAGGCGGTCCACAATACTCCAGGGCACTGCTGATGACAGATCAGCCAGTCTGGCCCATGAGTATTTGGAGGAGCAGATGAGTTACTTGGGCAGGGATTCTTCACCCTTAGCCCTGTTACCCCTCTAAGCCCTACCGGTTGGATAGTCCTAGCTGAACGAATAGTTGGAAGCTTCCAAGGCAGTGCTCTCAATTGCAAGCTATTCGTTCCAAGTGGTTAAACTTCAGGAGTTCCAAAAGTACGCTCTAGGGGGCCCCAGGTGTTGGCTCATGCGAACCTACGCTTAATACTCTCTGGGATTAGGTATGTAGGTTCTCCCTCTAAGGAGAGTGCTCATTCCAAACAGGGAAATTACCATATGAAGGTGGCATGCAAATATGGAACTCTGTCTGGTTTGGTTACTCATAAGCATGATGATGGGTTTCTGCATGTGTCAGATATCGACTGACCCCCAAAAAATGTATCATTGACTGGCTGTTTCCTGACAGGGACCTGGAGGAAGCTTTGGAGATGGGGGTGGACTGGTCTCTGAGGGAAGGTTATGCATGGGCTGAGGACAAGGAGCACTGTGAAGAATATGGCAGAATGCTGCAGGCTGATCCCAGCAAGGTCTCTTCAAAGGCTAAAAAGAGAGGATTGCCTCAGGTAACGTTTTGTTTTTGACAGGGAGAGAAAATGAGAGGACACACACACAATGCTCGAACTCCGCTCCTAGCTCTTCATTCATTGTAGCACATTTCTTATTGAGTTCTTTCAACTTAATATTGTTACTCATATATGTGTTTCCCACCCCCTTTTCCTCATAGCTGGGGACTCTGGGCGCTGGGAACCACTATGCTGAGATTCAGGTTGTCGACGAGATCTTTGATGAATATGCAGCACGTAAAATGGGCATTGACCACAAGGGACAGGTGTGTGTGATGATTCACTGTGGCAGCAGAGGTCTTGGACATCAGGTCGCTACAGGTGAGACCTATTCACTTCCACATTCAGAAAAGAATCCATGTTACTTGTAAAGTCATTTCCAATGATGATACTTATTATAAATGTCTTGTTTTGAGAGCAGACCTCACCATCTGGCCCACAATGATACCTCATTCAGTGTATAACTGGATCCTGTGGAGTTAATTTCTCGTGTCCTTTATTGAAGCATTTTCCTTTGTGGCTTTGTAAACACCAACCTCCTGCTGTGTTGAGACAGTTATCATGATTCCCCGGTGGTTCTTACACTGGGAACTTTGGCACACTTGTTAAGGGTAAATGAATATTGTATTTTAGGATTAAGCTTAAACATTGACTTTATTATTGTTTCTCAAGTAGATTCTTTTTTGAAGGGAACATTATTTTTAATTGACTGTCTATTGACCTCTGAACTCCTGGTCAGAGCAAGGATTCCTGTGGCACTGAAGGTTCAACACTTGTCTTCCATTCTCAATAGCTTGAAGACATGAAGTATCTCAGCTTTACACGGCTTAAAAGCAGTTTAACATGGTATATGACTGTCTTTAATAAGAGTTCTTGAGTCAGTGATTCATTCCACTTCCTCCCTACAATATGTCCCATTTGCCAATCAAATGTAAGAGGTCTTCAGTGCAAGCGGCACTGTAAAGTTTCTGCCAAATAGTATTTTTGCCAGAATTACAAATCTATGCGTGTTGGAGTAGCTGCTTCCTCACTGTAAAAAGGCCTTTCCATTGTATCTCCTGCTGAAGCAGAGTTCTGCTTTGTTTCACAGATGCCCTTGTGGCCATGGAGAAAGCCATGAAGAGAGATAAGATCATTGTCAACGATCGACAGCTAGCATGTGCCAGGATCAACTCCCAGGAAGGCCAGGACTATCTGAAGGGCATGGCAGCAGCTGGAAACTATGCCTGGGTGAATCGCTCCTCCATGACATTCTTGACACGACAGGTATAGAATGTGCTCTACTGACCAGTTCAGCTCATGCATCAAATTCTGCTACTTACTTAAGGATTACTCTGTTAACTGTGTCTCCTGTTACTTTAGCCAATCAGTCATTGCTTTTACTTTGCTGTGTGTTACCTAGAATAATCAGCACATGAAGTATACACCTCCAGATGTGACATTGTACATTGCAGATACCAATGAGCATGGTAGGATATGGCACTGAAATATAGTATTTCATTTCATCCAGACAATTGAGATGGAGGTCCAATGTGGAGATTAAGCTTCTCTCTTTCCTTGAAAATTGAATAACTGAGCTACCTCAGATCAGTCTCATGATTTTTGTAGTAACTAGGAAGTAGATTTATGTTATAAGTGATAACAAAATAATTCCTTTGTGTGATATGTTAGAATACATTAGAATATACAGCACAGAAATAGACCATTTGGCCCAACTGGTCTACGCCGTGTTTATTCTCCACATGAGCCTCTTCCTGCCCTTCCTCAACTAAGCCTTCAAGCGTAACCTTCTATTCCTTTCTCCCTTGTGTATCTATCTAGCTTTCCCTTAAATACTGTGCTATTTGCCCCAACAACTCCTTGTGGTAGCATGTTCCAAATTCCCCACTATTCTCTGTGTGAAGAAATTTCTTCTAACGTCCCTATTTGATCCATTTGTGACTATTTTATATTAATGGTCCCTGATTTTGGTCTCCCCCACAAGTGGAAACATCTTCCCCATGTCTACCCTATCAAAACCTTTCATAATTTTAAAGACCTCTATCAGGTCACCCCTTACCCTCCTCTTTTCAAGAGAAGAGTCCAAGTATGTTCAGTCTTTCCTGATCGGTGTAACCTCTCAGTTCTGGGATCATTCTTGTGAATCTCCTTTGCATCCTCTCCAGTGCCTCTACATCCCTTCTATAATATGGGAACCAGAACTGCATACAGTATTCTATGTGTGGTCTAACCAAGGTTCTATAGAGGTTTACCATAACTTCCCTTCTTTTCATTTCTATCCCTACAGGATAGAAGCCCAATGCCTCATTTGCTTTTTTTATGGTCTGATTAACCTACGTTGCTACTTTTAGTGAATTGTGCATGTGTACCCCTAGATCCCTTTGCTCCTCTACCCCATTTAGGTGTTTTTTTTCCCCAGGATGTGGCTTCCTTAATCCTTCTACCAAAATGTAGCACCTTACACTTTTCTACATTGAAATGCATTTGCCATTTAAATAGCCATTCAGCAAGTTTATCAGTGTCTTGCTGTAATCCTCTGTATTAACTACTCCCCCCAATTTGGTGTTGTCTGCAATTTTGAAATTGTACTGCTGATTCCTGAGTCCACATCATTAACATATATTGTGAACAACAGTGGTCCCAATACCGATCCTTGTGGAAAACCAGTGCCCACCCCCTGCCAGACTGAGTAGCTACTCTTTACCCCTACTCTGTTTTCTGTTTTGTAGCCAGCTTGCTATCCATTCTGCTATTTTTCTACTGACTCCACATGCTCTGACCTTATTCATTAGTCTATTATGTGGTACCTTAAAGATTTTGGAAATCTAAATATATTACATCTACCGCATTACTCTTGTCTACTCTTTCTGTTACCTCTTCAAAGAATTCATGAATAATGAATAATAATAAATTGGTCACTCAATCCACAGCTGATTGTGGAAAACTACTGTGCACAATTGACTGCTGCGTTTTGCCCATAAAATATACACAGTCACTCCACTTTACAGTATGTTCTGTGAAGCGCTTTGAAACGTCTCAACAACGTGATAAGGTGCTATATCAGATGTAATTATTATTATCTTCTAAACTAGTGGAATTTGGTGGTATTGTTTTGGACTTGTATTCACTTTTTTCTCTACCTCCCCCAAACCAGGCTTTTGCCAAAGTTTTCGGCACTACTCCAGATGACTTGGATATGCACATGATTTATGATGTATCTCACAACATAGCTAAGGTGGAGGAGCACGTTGTGGATGGGAAACAGAAGACTCTGCTGGTTCACAGGAAGGGTTCTACCAGAGCCTTCCCACCACATCACCCTCTCATTGCAGTCGATTATCAGGTTTGGCAAGCAGTGATGACAAGTGGCTGCCATATTATTTCTGGTTTCAATGTTGAAGTGTTATTGTGACCATGTGTTTCTTCCTGTTGAGTTTCTTTCTTCATTCCCTCAGCTGACTGGTCAGCCTGTTCTGATCGGTGGCACAATGGGAACCTGTAGCTACGTCCTTACAGGCACAGAGCAAGGAATGACGGAGACATTTGGAACGACCTGCCACGGAGCGGTAAGCAACTTGAGGCATCGACTACATTATTATCATTTGGCTGATATTCTAGTGCCGTGCTTGGGGGTGGGGGGTTGGGGGCTTGCATTGTTGGAGGTGCCGTCCTTTCAATGAGACGTTAAACCGAGGTTCCATCTGCTTGTTCGGGTGGATATTAAAGAACCCATGGCATCATTTGAAAAGAAGGAAGTTTCTCCCTGTGTCCTGGCCAACAATCCCCTAAATAAAAAAAAATTGGTCATTTGCTTCATGGTTATTTGTGGACATTGCTATGCGTAATTGTGCTGCCGCGTTTGCCTACAAATACATAGTCACCCACAGTAGATGCTGTGAAGTGCTTTGCGATGTCCTTCTGACATGACAAGGTGCTGTATCAAATGCAAGAATTCATTATTATCAGATTTGCTTTCCTAGAATTATAGGATGTATCTATGACTTCTGCAGTCCCAAGTATCAGGCATTGCAGTAGAGCACTGGCGGTACTTGATCTCAATGAATACTTAGCTGCAATGTGATGTGAATTTCATAGAATCATAGGATTATATAGCATAGAAGGAGGCCATTCGGCCCATCGTGTCTGTGCCGGTTCTTTGACAAGAGCTATCCAAATCAATCTCACTCCCCCATGTGTATACTATGTGGTGCTGAGGGTTGATGCTGGTGAAGGGGTGGGTGGACATAGTGATTTATTATTGTATAATTATTATTATCTCAGATTCCATTCCGCTGATCTTGCCACATGATTGCGGGAAAACTAAATTGAGCCAATGCAAAATAAATTATAGAGTATTTAAGGCTAAGGAAGTAATTCCACTTCAGGTTTTGAATTACGTTCATAGAATCATAGAATTATACAGCACAGAAAGAAGCCATTTGGCCCATCATGTCTGTGCTGGCTCTTTGAAAGGAGCTATCCAAATCAATCCCTCTGCCAATAGCCCTGCAAACTTGTCCTCCCTAAATAATTATCTACCTCTCTTTATTATTTTATTTTATTAATTTATTTATTTTATTATTTTATTTTATTCTTTATTATTTATTTATTATCGAATCGGCTTCCAGCATCCTTTCAGGCAATGCATTTCAGATCCAAACAACTTGCTGTGTGAAAAAATGTCTCTGCATGTCCCCTCTTGTTTTAACAACTATTTTAAATCGATGCCCTCAGGTTAGTGACCCTCCCACCAGTAAAAACAGTTTCTCCTTGTTCACCCTATCAAATCCCCTCATAATTTTGAAAACCTCTATTAAATCTCCCCTTAACCTTCTCTGCTACCTAGCCTCTCCTCATAACTGAAGTCCCTCATTCCTGGTACCATCCTGGTAAATCTCCTTTTGTAGGTCATTTAGTTAAAGAACTTATAAAACTGGCAGAAACTTACCTGATGAGCTTCATTATCATTAGCAATGTGTTTGCAAACCAGATGTAAGATTTATTAGTGTTTCTGAATCCGACAGCACAGGAGGCCATTCGGCCCATCGTACCTTTGAAGAGCTATAAAATTAGTCTCACTCCCCTGCTCTTTCCCTATAGCCTTGATTTTTTTTTCTTTTTCAAGTAAATATCTAATTCCCTTTTGAAAGTTATTAAATCTGCTTCCACTACCCTTTCAAGCAGCAAAACTGTAGAAAATTCAGGAGGACAAAGGGCAATTTTACCAATGCTGCTATTTGTAGAGTTCTAGTGTATAACGGAGATGGAGCAAGCTGCCTACCTGTAAACAAGACCAATACAGCCACCCAGATGTATTGTTGATGATTTGTGGATTCCTTTGGTGTGTTCATATAAAAATATCAACTGAATATTAAGATCTTTCGCTTGACAATGCATTGGTGTGGGGCAGTGGCTTAGTAGGTGTCACAGAAGCCAAGTTGCCACGGACTTCAAGTCCTCTGCACTAACACTTGAACTGTGTGAAATAAGGATTTGAGATTATGCTTTAATATTAGTTTCTTTCTTTCTAGGGCCGAGCCTTGTCCCGTGCCAAATCCCGGCGTAACCTTGATTTCCAAGATGTGTTGGATAAACTATCAGATATGGGCATTGCCATTCGTGTCGCCTCCCCCAAATTGGTGATGGAAGAAGTAAGAGCTGCTCTTTCTCTTATAGGGGTTTTCTTGTAGGTAGATGACTTTAAAACATTGGTCACAGGAGCTGTGTGGAGGTGCTCAGACTAACATCTGTTCTTGTCCTGTAAGCTAACTGGTACAAACGATTGGTTTCTGAACCCTGTGTCCACAGACACTGTTTCTCTGCATATCTAGAAAAANGTTCCCCAGCAAATGATTGATTGTACAGTAAAGGTGAGTAAGCAGTTCATCCATGCTGCATTCACTAACGGTATTGTTAATATAGTGTACCTCACACCTTTGACTGAGATATGGACTGGAGACCTCCTCGCAGTCGCTTTGCAAGTGAGAGACCTGAGTTCAATTCCAGGCAGGGCGAAACCTTGGGCAAGTTTCCTTACTCCACACGCCTAATAATAATCCCTCCAAAAACAAAAACAATAATAAATTGGTCATTTTCAATCTACGACTGTTTGTGCGACACTGCTGTGTACAATTGGCTGCCGCGTTCGCCCACAAATATGCAGTCAATTTACTTTACAGTATATTCTGTGAAGTGCTTTGGGACATCCAGAAGACGTGAAAAGCACTATATCAAATGCAAGGATTATTATAAGGTTGCGTAGAGAAAGTGCAAGTTCAATATGTATTGCATGCCATGTTTATTAGATCTATATATCTTAGAAATCGAAAAGATTAGGATCCAGACCCATACCTCCACAAATGGTAAGATTAAAAACTCCTTTTTGTTTTTTTCCAGGCACCTGAATCCTACAAGAATGTAACTGATGTGGTGAATACTTGTCATGATGCAGGGATCAGCAAAAAGGCTATTAAACTTCGACCTATTGCAGTTATAAAGGGTTGATATGTAGATGTAACCAATGGACTGACTGCCTTCTGTTAAAATTTCTGCAACTTTTGCAGAAAGAAAAATCTTGATTTTCAGCTTTCCCATACAACCAACATCAAATGAAATTCTGATGGATGGGAGCTTACCACCGAGAAGCTATAACGTTACTTCATTCTAATGACTTAATGGCACTTTCCTCGTCTCTCCAAGGGCTAAATTGGTTAACTGTTCTTTGAAGATGACAATATTTGGTGAAACAATTTTTGTTTAAAAATTCAGTTGGCTTTGAACAAAGCTATAGTTGTGGAGCTTCAATTAAATGGGGTTGAATGAAATCTAGTGCTTTTAATATTAAAATTTAATATTGTGCTTTTCACCCATAAAATATAGTCCAATCGATTTTACAGTATATTCTGTGAAGTGCTTTGGGACTTCTCAACTATGTAATAAGGCGCTATATCAAATGCAAGGATTATTATAAGTATCTAATTCACAAGAAGCGAAATATTTGCTCTGTGACTAGCCTGCTGGTCTGAACTTCTCAACCTCCCCGGGCTCTCCCTCAGACTCAACTTAGGCATTAGGTTTGATCCCCAGCTTTCCTTTCTATTCCACATCCGTTCCCTGACCAGGACCGCTTTTTTCTGCCTCGGTCACGTTGTCCGCCTCCGTTCGTACCTCAACCAAAGCAGCCGAAACCCTTGCCCACGCCTTCATCATGAGGCTGGACTATTCCAATGCCCTCCTCGCTGTGCTCCCCCATACACAAAATTCAACAAATTCAAAACTCTGCTGCCAGGATACCAACCCGCTCAAAACTCTGTATCCCCATCACACCAATCCTTGTCAGGCTCCACTGGCTCCCAATTACCGAATGGATCAATTTCAAGATCCTCTCACTCGTCAATTTCTCGATCAATTTCAAAATCTCTTCATGCCCTCGTACCTCCCTACCTCTTATCTTCTTATCCCTTACCCACTGCTTCCGCTCAGCTGGCCCCGGCCTCCTGTTTGTCCCTTGTCCCCTCCACGATCGGTGGCCTTTCCTTCAGCCACTACAACTCAAAATTCTGAAACGCCCCCTCACCCTAGATTGGGGTCAGACTCCACCACTGTCAAGCACTCCGGGACGCTACCCTGTGTGCAGGGCGCTATGTAAATGCAAGTTGTTGTATACTCTTGACTTTTGTGTATTTGATTTAAAATCTTCAGCCACCAGATTTTTCTGTGGTGGGAATTCATCAGTAGGACCAAATTGTACACTTAACACTTTTAAGATGGAGAGAAAAAAAATGTTGGTTAGAAATTACTCCCATTTCCCCAATAGCTATGATTAGGTTCCAGGTCCTCTGTATTTGACCGATGCCCTGCCTCATTTCTCTTTGTTCACAACACTGAAGAGATACTGTACTTACCACTAGTTTTGCACTTATGCTGTTTTCTAGAGCTGAGTAGACCACAATCTCTGACCAAGTGCGTGTTACTGCTCAGTTGAAGCCACCATGAGACAGAATTAAAATTAGTTCATTTATTTTTACATTTAAATTTACATTTCTACAATTTTATTTAATGGCAGGACATTGATCTGTAAGGTTCACTTATCTCAGACCACCTTTCTCTTTGCTTAAAGTGCAGTTGAAATTACAAATGATTCAATAAGCAGAGAATTGCGATTGGATGGCGGATCTTCCAAGTACACACGTTCTTCCTGTAGCTTCTCAAAAATATTCGCAAGTACACCAACTCAAGTGAAAGAATTCAGGTTCAAAGGTGGCAACCAGTTGGATTCTGTACCATTCACCAGCGGGGAAATGCATGTTTCGGAAACATTTCTCCATCCCCCCAACCATCCAAAATCAAAGGGAGATTCAGATCACGTTCCAGTGCAGCTCAACTCAATAAATAGCAATTGGAATGGAACATGAGTTTTCACTCAAAAAAGCCTCCACCATCAGGTCACTCGTGTTCTGCATTAGAACTTTTGTTTTAGTCTAAAGGTTTGTTTTTGAGGAACTTGCAGCCAGAGTTTGGTAATACAATATGATCCTCCTCGGCAGCGTTTTGACAAGATTCCACTCTTAAGTTGCAAAGTGAGGGAACAACCAACCCATTTACAGAAAGGCTTGAAGGGAAAAATATGCCAACCCACATTACTTTTATATTTGATCTCACCAGACATACTGGATTAAAACACAACAGTGAAGGAAAGAAATATGAAGTGAATCAAAAGATTAGAAACAGTACTACTTTTAAATGTAGGTTGTTCAAAATAGTTCTCTGTATATTCTGCTCCTCTGAAAGTTGGTGTGAAACTAAAATGGCACAAAGAACAAGAATTCATTTTTGCAATTTATTTTTTCCATTCTCTCCCCCCCCCCCCCCCAAATCAAAAACAGACCAGTTTGAACTTCCTATTAGTTGTTGTGGATATGCGCAGCTTCCATTCCTATCCAAATGCTTTCAGACACTGGGTTTTGGTTTGCTCCAGTATACTATGTCCACTTAATTCTTCTGATCTGCTTGAAGTGATTTGAACCACTTAGGCTCTTGTGGTAAACTACATTTTAGATGTAGCTACAAGGGTGCAGTGTACAAGCATTTGCAGGAGATAATTCTAAATTCTTATTAGAACATCCACAATTTGGCTATTCCTTGAATTTAGTTTCAACTTTGAAGCCAGTTTTGTGTAGTTCTCAAAGGAACTGGCATCAAAGTATTTGAGAATCTAGCAAATTCTGGAAGCTCTGAAATGGTAAGAAAATAGAGTAAATTTAGACCCAGGTGAAATGTCCCATGTTAGTTCCAGTCACTGAAGTTAGCTTTGAATTGCACTTTTTTTTCTTCTTTTGTTATTTTACCTTCTTATTGCATTCTGGTTTTATGTGTAGTTAAGGATCCTACCTCCCCTTTCTATCTCAAATGAACTGGATAGATCGAGAAATGGAGCACAGGTGCTTTGTGGGGAGAAAAATGGATGGATTTCACACACTCCTAATAACTCTTCCAAAACAAAAATAAACAGCTACCTCCAGTCAGTCTCTTCAAACCTGAAGGCACATGCTAGTGAAACTCATTAATTCACTGGAAGAAATTCTGCCAAAAATTCTACCCAGTTATTTATTGTGTTTTATGAGTAATACTGTCGGTAACCAGCTGTTCTGCACTGAGGGGTTCATGAGTTATTACAAAATCCTTTCTCCCAACAATCTACTCAGACTCAAGGCTGATAATCAAGGGAACAATATGGAATGATAACTTCCAGTACCAGACACTTCTGGTCGGCTGCTCAATTGTTAATCAGCTTTGGGTAACTGGTGTGTGAAGTGCCTGCACATGTTGCTCACTGAGATTTTAAGAGGAGAGCCATGTAAGTGATACACATGGATTTGAGTATTTCTGTTCCCACTTTAAAAGACAAATTAGCTGCAATAAGAGCAACATAACGCTTCCTTTTGTGTTGAAGTAAATAACAATTGAAGAGTCCTAAATCTGTCTGGTACTGACTGGCAGATTGCAATGGAATGCAATCGGAAAAGGCAGAGTTTCCCCGAGAGTTGGAGTCTCGGAATGCTGAGGGCTTCATTCCATCTGGCACAGCACATCTCATGCTTCCCAGTCATCATCATCCTCTGTGGTTTGTTGGTGTGGGGCTGGGAGGGGTGGAATGGCATCAGACATACGTGCAAAAGCACCACCAGGAGCAGGGGCATCGCCACCTCCACCTTCACCCTGTGAAGGTCCTTTACCCGATATACCTGCAGCAAAATTGGGAGATGTTAGCTCTGACTACATTCAAGCTCTTACCCACAGAACTTAACTGGACAGCCACAAGAGCACAATTTCATTAGGTATGTTTTAGTGACTGTGTCCCCTTGGATTGTAGGACCAGATAATACAGCAGAGGTGTGGAACATCAACCTTCTTTGTTTTCAATCTCCTTCCTCACCCAAGGGCAATCATAGAAGCCCAACCTGTCCACTGAATCTATTTCAGACCGTACCTACGATACAAAGCATAGCTGGCTCGTAACAATCACTCTGAAGAATTTAGGGACACAGTGTTGTGGTCACTGTGGTCATTGGAGCACAACTTTTTGACAGTGGACTCCAGTCATTCACAAACGGCTGGAGTTGAGTTGTCAATCAATGAGGGGGGCGGAAGAACGGGGAAGAACATGTGAGGGAATATTATAATTGATTGACAGCTGAGTGGCTTGTGATTGGGTGGAGCTCATCCATTCACAAGTGACTCCAGGCTGTCAATCACCTCAGGCAGTCGCTAATTGGTCCCCTTCCCAGCCAATGGGAATGGCAATGGGAGAGAGAAAGCGCCACCTCTCTGCTGGGCGGTATGGCCTGTAATTATTCCGGACCGACTGACCTGTACTTTGCAGCCAAACAAAGAAAATTATATTTTACTGAATTCTGTGAGAGTATTTTAAACTTTAACTGGTTAGTTAACATGTGAAACATTATTACATTATTTATTATACAGCATCGGTGGGCTCCTCTGTTGCGCGGAAATGATATTTCGGTTAACCTCGGACACCTCAAGTCAGAGAAAATGTATTTGAAAGAGTAATGAAGTGCTGAGTTCTGTACCTTTTCTCCTCATCGCCAGCTTGTTGAAAAGATCAGACATCAGGTTCCCGCCTCCTTCCCTCGTGCCACCTGGAACACACGACAAGTCGATCGGCCAGTTTGACAAGTCATCCTCATACGATTGACGAGTCGTCACTCAGCCTCAACAACATTTTCATTATCACTAAAATCAACTTATTTGTCTCCTTTACAATTATGTGTTGGTCACCTTGGAGTCCAATAATAATGCAAATCCAAATATACTACCTTTAGTTACTGAGTAGTTCTGGTCAAAGAAGTTAAACTGACCACAGGCAATACCTTGTTCTTGTTCCTTCTGCTTCTTCTTCTTCTCCATCTTAATCAGCTTTGCATTGCGCAGTTTGGCCTTTCCAATGCCTCCGGCCTGACGAATGGATTCCAGCAGACTAGCCCTTCCATCCGAGGGTTTCACAACCTCCTTGGGTGCCCCCTGGACACTTCCTTCAAAAGGGAAAAATAAATTAATCATGAGAGGGTGGGAAAATATAGAGGGAAAAAAACTGTACAATGGTGGTAACTAATAATAATATGCATTACATCTGGTACACCACCTTTTACCTCAGCAGACATCTCAAAGTGCTGAAGTAGACTGACTTTTTGTGGGAGAATGCATAACTGTACAAAAGAAGCAGTCTGCTGGAGTCCAACCGATACATTTCTCTAAGCATTAGGGCGACTGCCACTCAGCAGTGTCAGGCAGGCACAAACCTGTCACCTGAAGCACTTGAGGCAAGCTTCACTGTCGCTGTGCCTGGGGAAGGAGCTAATTGCAGTGGACCATCTCAGTAAAAGGACTAGGTGTGAACACACTTTGCACAATTCTCTGTAAATAAGAGGCTTGTCAGATTGAAAGGATTCTCAAGGACCTTACTATAACAGCTTCTGCCCTGAGTGCTTGTTTATAAGAAAAATAAAGGTCAGGGGCAGTTTAAGCTTCAAACTGAATTCTGCCTTTCAACAGATGACTCGAAGGCCAATTAAGGCTGCAGTCATCTCGGAATTACTCTTAGCTGATTTGACAGCTTTGATAATTGAAGGCCTTAATGCAATAACATTACACCTTTCACATTGGGAGAATGTCCCAAAGTGCTTTACTCAGTAAGCTGAGCCGGGGGGGGGGCTGGGATGAAGCACTGTGAAAAAAGGTACGGCATAAGGCAGCTTTAAAATTTTGTGTGTGTGTATGGGGGGGGGGGGTGAAACTAGTTGGAGAAACTCTGGGATGGATTTCCAGAGAGTGGGGACAGAATGGCTGAAGGATAGCAGATTCGGGAAGGCATATGAAGCAGGCTAGTGTTCATTAAGCAGAGGGAGCCAGTTGGTGGTTACAAAACAATTGCAGAAGGGAAAGTAGCTGAAGGTCTATAAATTACCAGCTGATACACAAACCTCACCTCCTTTGCTGCACTCTTTCTGATAGTTCCTGTCATGTAATCCCAAAGTGAGCTACAATGTCCTTATATTCATGCTGATTCAGCAGATCTGCTGCAATTCCTAGTTATCAATGGTCGGGCACTGAATCAAAACCTTAACTGCTGGATCTGCGGAGGCCTCTGTACAGTCCACCCCCAGAGCTTCTTTGTCAGAGACTGCGTATCCTACCCCTGGTCCGAGGGGGTCATACAGAAACTCTTACGTCCATTCACAATCAGGAACTGAACAGTGATGCACTTTCCGAGACACCAATGTGTGAATACCCTTCATTCAGCCATCTCTGACTGGTTGAATAGTGTTGAAAAAGGCAGATTGTACATATGGACACTGAGGCAATAAGTAGATTTATTGAGAACTCAAACTTGAATTGCTCTTGGGTTGAAGCTGGATACAGCACAGACCAATATATAGACCAGGGTGTCCGACTGGCAGTCTATGGGCCACATCCGCATGATTTCATCCAGCCCACTGCAATATCTGACGAGCAAATGCAGGCAACATACAGGCCCTAAATCAACCAGGCGACACTTACTGGGGGCTTACTGGCATCGGGACTGGCCAATCAGGATAATATATTATTTCTGCAGCTCATAGACGTTTCTCAAATCTAACACCAGGCCCTCAGCAGCCAAACTGTTCTCAGATCAAATCGTACCCACCTGAAGACTGAGTGGTGTTGGTGTCGGTTTGAAGAGGTGACTGGACTGGTGCTGGAGGCGGGGGCGGAGGAGGTGGCGGTGGAGGAGGAGGGGCGTTCACAGGTGTTAGTGGTTCAGAGGGCAGTTGCCCAACACACGGCAATGGAGGACCAGTGTCGTGATCATCTGAAACACAGAAAACAGTGATGAGGCTGTGGAGTGTTAGGCCCTCGAGCCTAGCCTGTCCCACTACACCCAACACCCATGTCTTGGTCCCCCCACCCAACACCCATGTCTTGGTCCCCCCCACCCAACACCCATGTCTTGGTCCCCCCCACCCAACACCCATGTCTTGGTCCCCCCCACCCAACACCCATGTCTTGGTTCCCCCCACCCAACACCCTTGCCTGGGCCAACCTCCCCCCACCCGAGACCTTTGCCCAATGTCCCCCCACCCCATGACTAGTGCCCCCTCCATCTGAGGTCCTTGTCCAGTGCCCCCTCCAACTGAGACCCTTGCCCAATGCTCCCCCAACCCAAGACCCTTGCCAGAACCTCCCCTCCTGACCCTTGCCTAGTGCCACCCTTCTCCCTCCCTAGGACTCTCACTCAATGCCAATCTCCCCACCCACCCCACCCAGACCCACACTGCTCGTCTACCTCTTGGACCTGGGTTTGATTCCAGTCCAGATGATGGATGAAAGCCTTGTCCTTTCTGCTGCTCTTTCATCCAACCTTCCTCAGTTCCCCCATTCCCCAATATGGGTTCCCCGCAGCTCTGTGAGCACTTTGAGTTGTTGTTGCTCCTCTATGTGCAGAAAGAGCCAACCGAGTCGGTGCGTAGATGAAACCATATACTACAGTTCTCTTTCCTTCCTACCCTTCTATCATTATATTATTATTATTCTACTGTTGGCAATGTGAATACAATGTTTATCTGAGCTCCAGTACATGGCAAAAGGCTGCCTGTGACTGCCCCACACCTGGTCCATTCGTGTAAACAGGTTCTGTGCTGAACGTGGGCAGTTCAGGCATGTTGCTTCCTGGCACGGAGGGCGCGATGCCAGGTCCCAGGTCAGCACTGTACATGAGGTCATCTGCAATCCCAGGCAGATCCGGTAGGTAGGATGGGACGTCAATCTCTGGGACCTGACCCAGGTCTGGTACATAGAAGTAATTCTCAGTAGTCTGAAATAACAAAATAGAAATTTTAGGAGCTCAAGAATTTTTGGGAGATACAGAATATACCAGATGGCAATTCCGTACTCCCTCTGCTGCTCTTTCACTCTCTCTTCCCCTCCTCTCCCCCTGGCTTGGGGTTGGACTCCACCACTGTCAAGCATTCCAAGAAGCTACCCCACATGAAGGGTACTATATAAATGCAAGTTGCTGTTGTACTGGGAACATTACCAATAGCATAAACACCCATACTGTATTCCTCTATGTCACTATGTCCACCCCACCTCCACCAACATCAACCCTCACCACCACAAAGTATGCATAGGGCTTGATGTATACTGTGTGGTGGAATTGATTTGGATAGCTCTTTTAAAAGAGCCAGCACAGACACGTTGGGCTGAATGGCCTCCTTCTGTGCTGTATAATTCTATGCATGTCAGTCACTGTTCCCCTGGCACCACCAGCATTGACACCCATATCATCAGATGGTATGCGTCTCAGTCACTGTCCCCCTGCCAGCATTACCCGTCTTTCTAGTTGCTCTCGCGTGGTGATTGAGAGCGGGGCATCAAACGGCTTCTCTTCCTTCTCAGTCTCCAGTGCCATGTGTGTCTTTGTCACAGCTCCTGCTAACGGATCCAAGAGAACGTACTTCTTGTAGCTGGTGGGAGGGGGAGAAACAAACTCAAATTGTAAATTTTATAGAGCCTTCTAACATTGAAATATCTCAAAGCGCCTCATAGAATTACGGAATTAGTCAAGTGCAATGTATAATAATCCTTGCATTTGATATAGTGCCTTATTACCTCTTCAGTCGTCTCAAAGCGCTTCACAGAATATACTGTGAAGTGAATTGACTGTACATTTTGTGGGCGAAATACGTCAGCCAATTGCACACAGCAGTGTCCCACAAACAGTCGTGGATTGAGTGACCACATTATTATTATTCTTGGGAAGGGATTATTACCCCTGGAAAAGGAATCCGCCAATCGACTAACAACTGAGTTCCTACTTACTGCTCGGTAAACTGCGAGGCTTGAGCCTACAACTTTCTGACCCAGAGGTCAGAGTGCAAATACCAGAGCCAGGTTGAACTGCAACCATGGTTTCGGAATAATGTTCTCTTTTTGAGCAGTTAAAGACACCTACGGATTCTCAGTCGTGTTGAACAGCAGCAGGGAGCTGATGGAGCTAATGTTCCGAGGAAGGCTTCCCAACCCCTCCTCCGTCTCATCCTCCTCTCGAGACTTGGTGTTCAGACACACGGGGTAATGCTTTGCCTTTTCCTGAGGAAAACCATAAGAAAACATCTCGATTATTCCTGTTCACCAGCATTTTACAGAAAAACCTCCCATTTTGTCAAATGAAGTGATGGGCTAACCCCCACACTACCCACCCACAGACCCACCCACCCACAGACTCACCCACACTTACCCCCACACTGATAAAGTGGACAGCAAAAAGCTTCCAGACTAATGCAAATGATGCCAAACAGCAACAACAACTTGAGTTTATATAGCGTTCTTCATTAGAGGTAGCGCTTCACAGCGGTGGAGTCTGACAATGAGCCAGGGGGAGAGGGAGTGGGAAGATGACCTTTAGCACAATCAAAAATGAAAGTGGGTTTTTAGAGGGATTTGAAGGTGGGGAGTGAGGGGGCAAGGCGGTGGGATTGAGGGAGAGTTTCAGGGCGTAAGCCATCATCTCCAACGAATGTTTTGGGATAAATTGCTCAGAGACATTGGGCTGTATCTCGGACACAAGTAAACTGCAACACACAAGCCACTCAACAGATATATATACTTTGGGAGGAATGACAATACCTGTCATCTTCCCCCACCCTCTAAAGACAGGCTGTTTGCAGGTATATGAAGAACCTGAATAAGGAATGGTACACACTTCCATTTGTTTGCTGTGCATTATAAATAAATAATCCGCTGTCCAATTATAATGCTATTTGTAGCATTTTAACCAGATCCACCCTCCTCTCTCCCCAGCAGCACAGCCAGAGGAATGTGACATGAAGAGCATTTCTCAGCTCAGCCCCATCAATCTTTAATGGATGAGATGTGCCAATTCCGTCTCCTGTAGCTTTTAACTTTCAAACCTCACTCGTGGGGAGGATAGCTGAGACACTGCGAGGAGGATGACAAACAGCAGGCACGTGCAACAGAACTCTGGGGGAGAGCGAAAGAGAGTGTGAGAGAAAGGGAGACCACACAAGGAGAAAGAGTGAGAGAAAGCACGAATTCTGGCAGTTCTTCACTTCTTGTCTGAAAAGGCTGAATGAGCAGACTAAAGTGCAGATTGCTGTCACCAGCATTTCCAGAGACTCCAACTGTGGAAAGCATTTATGTAATCGCAAGCCCTAAGAGCCAGTAGTTTGAGCAGGCCAGCACGGAACTGGGCTTAATTTCTGCGTACATAATTTAAGAATCACGCAACTTCTTTGAATTGGTAGGAGTGGGCCTGTGGCTCATTTAAGCTCCCATTGCTACTTTGTCTAAGCTGAGCTGACAGTGGCATGAGGCAGGATACAAAATGCGGTACTGTGATTCCTATCGGATGGAGGGAAAGAGAGGAGATAGAGTGGGACCAATTTACAGTGAATGGACTTAAGTCATCTTAGTGTCTCCTTCCTGACAATGGAAGAACATCTCTCTCACTGACATGAGGGTACCCGAAAATGAAATGGAGATGGAGTAGGTATCCTGCAAGAATTAAGAAATAGCCGGAAAACTGACCTGCTGAACACCTCATCCTTAAATGTAGAGAGTGTGAATGATTGTGGGTGAGGGAGGGGGTAAAGAGGGACAAGATGTGGAGTGGAGTCCTGTAGCTCAGTGGTTAGAGCACTTGCCTCGCAAGCGAGAGACCTGGGTTCAATTCCTGGCAGGGCGACACTTTGGGCAAGTTTCCTTACTCCACGTGCCTCTGTTTACCTAGCAGTAAGTAGGAACCCGGTTGTTAGTCGATTAGTGGATTGCTTTTCCGGGGGTAATAATTCCTTTTTTAAAAAAATAATTCGGTCATTCAATCCACGATTGTTTGTGGGACACTGCTGTGGGCATTGGCTGCTCTGTTTCGCCCACAAAATGTACAATTCACTTTACAATATATTCTGTGAAGCACTTGGAGACGTCTCAAAGACATGATAAGGCGGTAAGTCAAATGCAAAGATTATGTATTATTATGTATGTGGAAGATGACTGAAGATGTGTATTTAGTAAATGGATACCACATCCTAAGAGCCAGTGATCTGGGAATTGTCCCCTTAATGCGCACTCACTTTCACCCCCACACACCTGCACAGCCTTATCATCCAGAGGCTTCAGCTTGCTGTGGATCTTGTAGCGTGGGCGCTTCTGAGAAGCAGGATCATCCGCGCCCGAGAATATGGAAGTGTAATCCTGTAGCCGGTCAGGTGCAGGGTACTTAGCACTGGAAAAGACCTGCAGAAAACACAATGGAGGAAAGGTCAGGCACGTGATTGGTGTTATACAGGCAAACATGGCAGCTGATCAGCTGCGGTGCAGATTCACAGCACACTGGCACAGCCAGAACCCCGTAAAGTCGTACATCTGGCCCTTACTTTCGTGGCTTTCTTGCTGCCTTTGATCCTCTCGATCTTGGCCTGTGCCAGATTGATGCGGTCACTGATGGACTGCAGGCGAGTCTGATTCCTCTCCACGTTTTGGGAAACCCTAGAACAAGACAAGCTGCTGTTAAGGAGGGAGGGGATGTGGAGCACAATCTGACCGCCAGCCCCTCAAACAAATCGCTGTTCCTGTGTTACACATCCAGCAAATATAGCCCGGAAAAGTCTGGATGTTGCTCGTATAACCAACCAGAATATTGGGTATTAGGTTGTGCCCTTTATTCTTTTCGGCAAAAAAAAACCCATACCAAAATATCCCAAAGTTAAATGTACTGAGATGGACCCTAAGTAGATCGGCAAGACAGACTGAGAAAAGTACTTCACAATATATTAACACATGTGACAAACAATTCAAGTCCAGTCTGTTTTTTTGTCTTTTTATTTCCAGTTGTCTACAGTCTAATGATGGAACAGGTTAGGTGATTTGCCTGACGACCTTCCTCTCTTGCCTTGTTCAAGTTCTGTCTACAGACCTTCCTCTTCGACCGTACCTTCAGCCACCCTCCCACCCCCTGCCCTCCATCCCTCCTGACCCCAAATCCCAGCTCGGGTCCAAAAAGCCCTGGGACATCTTTCCAATGTAAACAGCGCTATGCAAGTGTAAATTGCTGCTGTTGTTTTCCTTTTCAACTATGCTTACAGTCAGCTCCCCTAAATCCCCTGGCTGGGTGTCAGGCTCCACCACTGTTAAGCGCTCTAACCTAAGGTGAAAGACACTGTATAAATGCAATTTGCTGTTTTTGCCTCTTCCCAGCAGTATTCACCGACAGTCACCCTGTGACCATGCACGTCTTTTTCAATGCGCTCCTGATCACCAACCAGGGACCACCCCACACTCAAAACATGCCAGGGCTTTGGGTCAGGACAAGACCAGCTGAAATGCCCCCATCGTCAAAAAGCTCTCTGGATTCTTATTGGAATAATAGCCACACAGACAAGATTATCAGCACCAGTGGTGAAACATCCCAATAGAAGGTGTAAAGCGGTCAAAGTCTTGAGGAAACAGATGGAAACCCCAAGCTTCTAAATCTCACCAGATTTATTTTAAAGATGAGCCTCATTTAGCCTGCCTCAGTTGGTAGCACAGAGTCAGAACTTTGTGGGGTCTCGTCCCGTGTCAAAATGCTGTTGGTTCAAGCCCGACTCTGAGCTCGCTTTGTCTAAGCTGTCACTTCAATGCTGTCCTGGGGGTGTGCTGCACTGTTGGAGGCATCATCCTTCAGATGAGACATTAAACTATGGTTCCATCTGCTTGTTCGGGTACACATTGCACGATTTGTAAAGAGAAGGGAGTTTTTGTTGTTGTCATGGCCAACAATCATTCAAATACAGTTGGTCATTCACTGTTTGCTGTGTGCAAATTAGCTGACCCATTCATCCACAAAATACAATCACTACACTTTACAGTAAATGCTGTGAAGCTCTCCGAGACATCCTCCCGATGGGAAAGGCGAGATGTCAAATGAAACGACCAGTTATTTATTCATTCGGCATTGATATGGGGATCTGGCTTTGTTTCGGCTCCTGTGCTTAGTCACTGAGGACGAATTCCATTTTCTTGGGCTTTCATCCTGAACATGTTGCGGTTTTCAAGAACTTTACTGACCTGCTTTTTTGTTTTGCTGATGTTAACATGATTTTGTTTTTAAGATACAACTAAATTATTTAAAAAGTAAAATATATCAAGCGGAATAATAAGCAGCACTCTACAGACAGCTGAAGGGTCTGCACACAGCTCAACGGCAGGAAACAACACAAAATGAGCAGCACACCAGGCTAAAGTACAGGGCCACTTTAGTCATCAAACTTCGACCTTATACGAAATAGCGCAAACCAGAAATTAAAGCCTCTTATCTAATAACATTGGGCTCAGAGCTAATCCGATTGTCCGTAGCCAGTGATGAAGTGTGCATCAGGTCACTCTGCATCAGCAGTGTGAAATAGAGGCAGCCCGTCAGATCCTGTCAGAAGATCAACAGAGCAAGGATGACAACCTCAGCCCTGGGAGGGGAGGGAGAGGGGCACAATAGTCTTGGCCCAGGTGGGGAGACATAACCTGACATCAAGCTTCTTTTGGAGCCTATTCCCCCTCCAGCCGAATGGAAGAACTTACAGGAACAAAACAAACTTAAGGGATTGAGGATAGGGAGTATGTAACCCTGCAATACATCAACAGACAAAATAAAAGTCTCTCCACTATGAATCCAAACCAGGACCGGGTGGGGTGGCAAAGATTAGGAAGGTAGAAGTGAAGGTTTTGGATTGGGGGAAATCCAAGCCTTGGTGATACACGTTGGGCCAAATAAACTACTCCCTCCTCTCTGCCAACTCTGACTCGTTCATACCATCATGGGTGAGCTTCCAGCCATTCTGCCCTCATCCTCACGGACACTTCTCAAATCTCTCCACCTTGCGGCTTTTCTATCCCATTCAAAAACGTCTCTCTGACTGATTCTTAGGAATCCTGTTCTGTATTAGTCAGCTCGCTTACCTCGCAAGCGAAAAGACCCGGATTCGATTCCCGGTAGGGAGAAGCAGTAGACAAATTTCCTTACTCAACACGCCTCTGTTTGCCTAGCAGTAAGTAGGAACCCGCTTGTTAGTCGATTGGCGGATTGTTTTCAGAGGGTAATAATCCCTTAAAAAAAATAATTTAGTCACTCAATCTACGACTGTTTGTGGGATAATACTGTGCACAATTGGCTGCCGCATTTCACCTACAAAATGTAGTCAATTCACTTTATAGCATATTCTGTGAAGTGCTTTGAGATGTCTCAATGACGTGATAAGGCACTGTAACAAATGCAAGGATTATCATTATTATCTTCAGCAAACCTCCCCCTCTCTCGCCTGTCTCTGGTCTACTTTGTGAAGTACTTTAAGACCTCTCCCAGGAGAAAAATGCTATCATGTGGAAATTGCCGTTCTTGTTGATTGATATCTGATCCACGTGCAGCATCCCAACATGTTATTCTGTTATATTCGGTGTCTTTTTCGACCTTCAGCTATCCTTCAAAACCCACATTCGTGTTGTGACCTGTCCTGCCTTTCCCCACCTCCACAACATTGCCCGCCTCTGCCTCTCACCATAGGGCTCTGAGATCCTGATCCACGCTTTCATCACGTCCCGGTTTGACTATGTCAACTGCCTGCTCGCTGGACTTTCCAACTCTTCCTTCCACAAGCTGTATTGCAGATTATTCAGAACTCTGTAGCTCGTGTGCTCTCCTGCACTAGGCTCTGTTAACCAATCACCCCCATTCTTGCCCGGCTTCACTGGCTCCCCATCCTTCAGACAATCGAGTACAAAACTTCGTTCTCACCTTCAAAGCCCTCCACTGTCTTGCTGCCCCCTATCCCTCCGACCCCCTAACCCCATAATAATAATAATCCTTGCATTTGATATAGGGCTTTTCACGTCTTCTAGATGTCTCAAAGCGCTTCACAGAATATGCTGTAAAGTGAATTGACCGTATATTTGTGGGCGAAACGCAGCAGCCAATTGCGCACAGCAATGTCCCACAAACAGTCATGGATTGAAAATGACCAATTTTATTATTGTTTTTGGAGGGATTATTATTAGGCGTGTAAATTAGTAGGAGTAAAAGGAGTAAGGAAACTTGCCCAAGGTTTCATCGTACCTGGAATTGAACCCAGGTGTCTCATTTGCAAGGCGAGTGCTCTAACCACTAAGCTACAGGACTCCATAATCAGCCTGTCCACTCCCTTCGCTCAGCGGATACCATACTGCTTCAGGTCCCCCACACCACTGTTGGCGGTATGGATTTCAGCATCTCTGCCGCCACACTCTCAAACTCTATCCCGCAATCTCTCCGCCTACCCTCCTTCACGTCCCGTCTAAAAACCTTCCTCTTCGACCGTGCCTTTAGATACCCTCCCACCCCCATTGCCTTCCACCCCTCCTGACCCCAACTCAGGTCCAAAAAACCCTAACTGTCCAGCTCCCTGGGATGTCTTTCCAATGAGAAGGGCGCATTACAAGTGTAATTTATTGTTATTATTCACTTCTGTTGTATTCAGAATTTCTGATCTCAGTAGAAATATTTCCTCCTGATCATTCCTCACATAAACACTCAGCCAATCTGGTGGTGTAAGATACCAGGGAAAGGCCACTTAAGTAACTGGACCGGTTTCTGGAGAGACAGAAATGAGATTGATGACAAGGTGGGGCCAGAATTAAACAAAGGACTTAGTTTGGTGGTCCAATGGCTTTTCCCGGTCCTAAATTTCTTCTGTTCTTATCTGCTGACAGCTGCACTTTGGAAGTTTAATGAGTTCTGCATTAAGTTTTCTCCAGTGCTGGAGTTGCTGAATGAATGATTAACCAAGGGCCCATTTATATCCTTAGTGAACAGAACCTTGAACAAACACAACTGTCTCTGGCAGATTCCAACTAATACTGGATTGAAGGCATGAAGGTACAAGTGCTACTAAAAGGACCCAAGCGATTGCAGGTGATGAGAAGTTCAACTCAAGTTTGTTCATTGGCATAGTGTATGGCAACATCTAATCAAAGCGTTGCTATTATAACAATATGCTGAGGACAAGAGCCATGCCATGTGTAGAGGCAATCAGTCAAGACAATCCCCAGGGTATTTACCAAGACACGATTCCTGTATTCCATAGACAGAAATGAAAACTCTAGCATCTTCCCTAATGGGTTAATGGGTAAAGGCATTGTCCAGGAGGAGCAGTCAATCAGCCCATAACTATTGGCAAAGAGAACAGTGTATACATAAGATTCAGAGACCTTCAGTGTTTTTGTACATAATAATAATAATAGTTCCATTTGATATTGCGCCTGATCACGACATTAGAAACCTCAAAGCGCTACACAGAATATATTAGGAACTGGATTGACAGTGTATTTTGAGGACAAAATGCATTTACAAGAGTAATACTTGCATATAGGGGCATTACACCTTCATACTTAGTATGAACATCAAAGGGATTTTCCTGCATCAATAATGTTGGGTGGTATTAAAACACATGAACTCCCAGTGAGTTACAAGGACAGCAATCCAA